AGTAGTAATCTGGCCCAGAAACATTATAAAGTGAAAAAGAAATTATTCCTAACATGAACCAAATTATTCCATCATTCTGATCTTTGTCATGCCACACTTCTTCTCACATACTTGCTTAACACGGTTGTGACAGTGACCGCACATAGAATGCTGTAGTCTATTTCTGCTTTCAACATTAGGTCAGAAAATTTCCCGGACCACTCACTATATGGTCTTTTAAAACCACTATTTTAAACAGCTACAAAATATCTTCACAAATGGATGTTCCACAATTGCCTTAGCACCAATTTAGTATCCAGGTTTTTCTAATTTTCCACCACTGTAAGTGGTAACGGGCTACTTTTTTCCAGTAGCTTTTTCTACATTTCAGACTGTTTCCTTTGGCTGGATTCCCAGATTGAAGGGAATCAACGTATTTATGGCTCTAGTATATTCTTTGTCCACTATTTAGTTCTATTTTGAACACACAGCCTACATTTAAACAAAATTCTAATAAATTCTGGACACTTAATTACTTAAAACATAATCATTCACTTCCAAGAATTTCAGATGGCTTATAAAATAAAGACAAATGGAAATAATAAAAATAATAGAAATAGAAATAATAAAGTAGACAAATACACATGGCCAACTAAGTCAGGGGTCAGCAAACTATAGCTTGTAGGCCTAATCTGCCCTACTACCTGTTTTTGTAAGTAATGTTAATTGGATCACAGTCATGCTCATTCATTTATGTTTTGTCTATGGCTGCTTCCATGCTACGATGGCAGTGCTGAGTAGTTGCAACAGAGACTGTATGATCTGCAAAGCCTAAAATATTTACTGTCTGGCTTTTACAGAAAAAGCTTACCACTCCTTGAACTAAACCATCCATACTTCTAGATTTTAATCTTAAATTGCAAAATTCCCCACCTATTCTGTTCAACTGACTTCCACTTCTGGCCAAGATAGAGCAACAGTGACCTGATGAGTCTTCCACCAAAAACAACAAAAGCAGACATGAACATGAAATAACAGTTTTCAAGACAATGGACACCAGGCAATGAAGGACAGTGATCAGCAGACAGAATAGTCTTGAACTATTTATTAACCAACCTTGACATTTTTAGAGCACTCCACTTAACAACGGGCACACAGAATATTTACCAAGATACATCATAGTCAACATAACTCAAACACAAACATCAATAAATTTAAAAGAATTCCAATCACCCAATATATGTTCTCTTGCCACAATGGGATTAGATTGGAAATCCGAAACAAAGATATCTGGAAAATATTTAAATATGTGGAAACTAAATAATGGACTTCTAATTAACTCATGGGTCAAAAAGAAATCAAAAGGTAAATTAGAAAGTATTTGAATGAAAATGAAACTACAACATAATAACTATGCGATGCTACTTAAGCAGAATTTAAGGGGAAAATTTATAAAATGCCTATATAAAAAAAAGGGAAAAAAGGTCTCATATCAACGATTCCAGCTTCAACCCTAAATGACAAGACAAAGAAGGGCAAATCAAACAGAAAGTAAACAGAAGAAAAGAAAAATTAGGATGAAAGTGAAATCAATGAAATAAAAACCAGAAAAATAGACAAAGTCAATGAGAGCTGGTTCTTTGAGAGCAAAACTAATAAATCTCTAAGCAAACTGATTGGAAAAAAGAAAAAAGACACAAATCAGGGTACCTGGTTGGCTTAGTCAGTGGAGCATGTGACTCTTGATCTCAGGGTCAAGAGTTCAAGCCCCACGTTGGGTATAAAGATTACTTAAAAAAAAAAAAAAACAAGACACAAATCACCAATATCAGAGATGAGAGAGCTGACCCACCTACAGATTCTAGATATAGAAAAAAATAGTAAAGGAATATTATGAATAACTTTATGCCTATAAATTCAACAACTTATGAAATGGGACAAATTCCTTTAAAAAACAAAGTACTGAGGCTCATTCAAGAAGAAACAGATAACCCGAAGAGCCCTATATGTATTAGAAAGAAATTTTAGTTAAAAAAGCCTTCCTATAAAGAAAAGTTCAGTTTCAGATGGATTCATTGGCTAATTCAACCAAACATTTAAGAAAAAAATTATACCAGTACTAAACAAACTTACAGAATATTGAAGAGGAAGTATTTCCCAACTCATTCTATGAAGCCTGCATTACCCTGATACCAAAACCAGGCAAAGATATTACAAGAGAAGGAAACTACAGATCAATGCAGGCATATCTTAGAGATATTGTGGGCTGAGTTCCAGACCACCACAATAAAGCGACTATAATGACAAAGTGAGTCAAATGAGTTTCCCAGTGCATAGAGAAGTTATGTTTACACTACACTGTAGTTTATTAAGTGTGCAACAGCATTATGTACACTACTTTTTTTTTTTTTTTAAGAGTTTACTTATTTGAGAGAGTGAGACAGAGAGAGCATGAGCAGGGGGGAAGGGTAGAGGGAGAAGCAGACTCCCCGCTGAGCAGGGAGCCTGATGTGGGACTCGAGCCCAGGACCCTGGGATCATGACCCGAGCCGAAGGCAGACGCTTAACTGGCTGAGCCACCCAGGTGCCCCTATGTGTACATGCCTTAATTTAAAAATATTTTACTGGGCGCCTAGGTGGCTCAGTCGTTAAACGTCTGCCTTCGGCTCAGGTCATGATCCCAGGGTCCTGGAATCGAGCCCCACATCAGGCTCCCTGCTCAGCAGGGAGCCTGCTTCCCCTTCTCCCTCTGTCTACCACTCTGCCTACTTGTGCTCTCTCTCTGTAAATAAATAAATAAAATCTTTAAAATAAATAAATAAATAAATAAATAAAAATAAAAATACTTCACTGCTTCACTCATATGTGGAATTTAAGAAACAAAACAGATGAATAGAGGGGAAGGGAAGGAAAAATAAGATAAAAACAGAGAGGGAGACAAACCATAAGAGACTCTTAACTATAGGGAACAAACTGAGGGTTGCTGGAGGGGTGGTGGGTGGGAGGATGGGGTAACTGGGTATGTTAACTAAACTGAATTTTTAAAAAATACTTTATTACTAAAAATGCTAACCATCATCTGAGCTTTGAGTTGTAATCACTAATCACGGATCACCATAACAAATATAATAATGAAATAGTTTGAAATTCTCTGAGAATTACCAAAATGTGACACGGACATGAAGTAAGCAAATACTGCTGGAAAAATGGCACCAATAAATGCAATGAAAAATGAAAAAAGCATACAAAACTGCTTGAATGCAGGGTAGCCACAAACCTTCGAGGAGTAAAAAACACAGATCTGTGAAGTACAACAAAGTAAAGCACAATAAAATGAGGTATCCTTCACAAACACAAATGCAAAAAAATTCTAAACGGGATGCCTGAGTGGCTCAACCACTTAAGCGGCTGCCTTAGGCTCAGGTCATGATCCTAAGGTCCTGGGATTGAGTCCCACATCGGGCTCCTTGCTCAGCAGGGAGCCTGCCTCTCCCTCTGCCTGCCATTCCCCCTGCTTATGCTCACTCTCTGATTAATAAAAAAATTCTAAACAAAACTTGAGCAACTGAAATAAAAAATATATAGACAGGTTAATACCTCATGACAAGTAAGGGTTGTCCCAGAATGCAAGGTTGGGTTAACAACTAAAAACCAGTCAGGGGTGTCTCGGTGGCTCAGTCGGTTAAGCGTCTGCCTTCGGCTCAGGTCATGATCCCAGGGTGCTGGGATCGAGCCCCACATTGGGCTCCCTGCTCAGTGGGGAGTCTGCTTCTCCCTGTCCCTCTGTCCCTCCCCCCAGCCTGTGCACGTGTTCACTCTCACTCTGTTCTCGCTCTCAAATAAATTTAAAAAATTTAAAAATTAAAAAAAAAAGAACAGGGCGCCTGGGTGGCTCAGATGGTTAAGCGTCTGCCTTCGGCTCAGGTCATGATCTCAGGGTCCTGGGATCGAGTCCCGCATCGGGCTCCCTGCTCCTTGGGAGCCTGCTTCTCGCTCTGCCTCTCTCTCTCTCTCTCATGAATAAATAAATAAAATCTTTAAAAAAAAAAAAAAAAAAAAAAAAGAACAGGTTGCAGGTGTGCAGGCTTAACGAATTGCTGAGCAGGAAGAGATCTTAGAGATCATCACCCCCAACCCTTCGTATTCTAGATGAATAAAGGAGACCCATGAAGCCAAGATCACACAGCTGATTAGGAGTTAGGTCTTATGGCTAAACCTGGAGACCCAGCCAACAATAGAAACACACACTCTACTGTACCTCATTATTTGATCGCCACATATACCATTATTTCATTACTTTGACAGGAAGCATAGCACGACGTCTTAGGAGTTAGGAATCCTGGGTTTGAATTCCAACTCTGTCTCCTATAGACCTGAGCATGTCATTTAAGTTCTCTAAGGCCTCAGTATCCTAGTCTGCTAAATGGTGGTAATAATGGTCTCTGCATCACAGGTTGGTTGTGAGGATTAAATAAGGTAACAGGGGGCGCCTGGGTGGCTCAGTCATTAAGCGTCTGCCTTCGGCTCAGGTCATAATCCCAGGGTCCTGGGATCGAGCCCTGCATTGGGCTCCCTGCTCTGCAGGAAGCCTGCTTCTCCTTCTCCCATTCCCCCTGCTTGTGTTCCCTCTCTCACTGTGTCTCTCTCTGTCAAATAAATAAAATCTTTAAAAAATAAATAAATAAATAAATAAATAAATAAGGTAACAGATCAGTAAAGTACTTGGCCCCTCCCAATGAAAATATTATTACTACCACCACCACCAGTATCACTGCTTCTTACCACCACGTCTGCATTATGAGGACATCGAGGACACTGTGCAGTCCACTCTTAGTAGACACTCCCCTGAAATCACCCAGACCCCAGGAAAGAGAAAGTCACATAGATCATACAGGCATACCTCGGGTTCAGTTCCAGACCATCTGATGTGCCATTTCTCTATATCTGGTCTGGACTCTCCTGGGAATGAAATCTTTTATACAAGTGGCCTGTTTCCTTTTTTTTTTTTTACTCCCAATTACCTGCTTTCCTGTCCACAGTGGAAAGGGCTTCAGGATGGCAGGAGGAAAGAGCTTCACACGCCCTACTTTGTCTGTGAGTCCTCGGTATAGCAGCTCCATATATTGCTCCCGAGTGAAAAAGCAACCTCGAATGGTCATGTTTGCACCCGAAACCATGTGATCTTGGATCAACCCCGCCAATGGCTGGCCATCCTACAAACCAGAAGAGGTAAGAAAGAAGGCAAATATGAAATCACATTCTAATTCCTAATCATCTGCTTGGAAGCCATGTACTAGTAACAGCCCTCCCCTCTACTCCTGTATGGTTCTGCCCACAGCCTCACTAGGCCCAGGCTTGGGCCTCCCATCTGGAGAGCAAACTGCCTCCCAAAGCACATGACCTGGGCTTCCTGACCGGCCTCCACCTTTTACATTTGCCCATTGTTCAAGATCAAAACAGCTCCAACTCATCCAGTTCCCCAAGCCTTCTCTCCGCAATCCCATCTGGTTCTAGTTACTCCAGTATATTTTTGGCATCTTTGCATAAATTTGGTCTAGCTGCAGTTTGCTGTGTTCTTGCCTTTATATTTTGGTTTTATGCTCTAGTATTTTTCACACATTTCTGGCCTGTTTTCCTCTAAATCAGTCACCCATTCAATAAATATTTATTGAGAGAATACTATATGCCCAGACATTTGGGTTAGCCCTCCAATCTACTCTAGTGGACCAAACAGACATGATCCTTTATGGTGAGGAAGAACTAGACAATCAACAAATGATTGGATGAATACATTATCACAAAGAGTTTTAAATATCTTGGAGGAAAATAACAGATGGGTCATCATACAGATTAGAGGTAGGGGGATGGTCAGAAAGGATCTTTCAGGGGCAGTATTACAGGGCCCTGAGTATTACTGACTTAAGCCTCAGCTCTCTAAGGGGTAGGGGGTCAGCCAGAGGAACCTCGAGAGGGTTGAGAGGGCCTTGCTGTGCATGACTATGGAAAAAAAGAATGCTCACTTACAAGTGTCTCTTCACAATGTAGCACATGTTCATGGTGGGGCCTTTAATAGAAGCTGTTATCTACCAGATGCCCAAACAAGGGCTTTTATGTAAGCCCCAGTGCGTTCATCTCATTTGAAACTTTTCACAGACTAAGCCTTAGTCTCCTGCAACTTATCTGGAGGTCTGTGTTCATGGCAACGTAAGGCACACTAACGTAAAAATAGCTATGCCCACTGACATGCTCTAAGAAGCAGTGTTTGCAAACTTTTCAGTGTTTATGGGAACTTGAGAAAAATCTGTGCCTTGGATCTAAAGACTGTTATCATTTGATTATTTGTTAAATACTATCCAATATTATGGCCAGGTTTCATAACTAAGCTAGCTAAAGGAACTCACAAATGCAGCCATGGAGAAATGCCAGGAATTTAACCACATGTACTAATTCAAAGGATAAAAAGGATGCTTGTCAAATAGTGGACATACTGTGGCAATGGGCTCTATATAAACTCAAAGACAATTATTACAGATGGGCTGAATAGACAAGGCAAGGTCAGATGGTGCACACAGCCTCTCTTATGAAGGCTTCGAGTTAAGAGCAGGAATAAAAAATTATACTCTGCATCTTGTTCCAAAGACAAGGTCTTATTTTGCTTGGGGGATGGAGAACCCAAACCAGTATTACGCATTTGCCTCATCCCACAGTCTTTGGGGGCAGATAGAGATTTTTCCTTTTGTTTTCTTCCTTTAAAGAACATAATTACAAGTTATGTGATCTATTCAGTGCCTTCCCTATTCTCCATCCAGATTTTTCCATGACTAGAAAATTACCTTAATGGCTAAATTGCTTTCAATGCAATAATCATGAATCGTAGGGAGGAATGCTGATTAAAGCAATTTACTAAGGGCCTACTTATAATTCTGGATTTCCCAAATCCTGCTTAGGATCAGAAAGACCATCTCTCAATCAAAAACCCAGATAATTGTTAGCTATCCTATTCCACCTAATATCACAGCAAAATGACATTACAATTAATTCCTTTGGTCAGGATACTTTGAGAATTAGGGTACTCTGTGACTTGAATTTTCTGGCTAAGTGGATAGTCAGGAGACTCTCAAACCTTGTTAAAAACTTTCCACAAGGCACTGGCCCTCAAAAAATACAACAAACAGAAGAAAAAAAATCCACAAAGAAACACATCAATGAAAAGTTTAACTGTTTTCTCGGGAAAGAAAGAGCTGGTATCATTCACCTCCTATTTTAAGTAAGAAAATAACCTGCAACTCTACTAAACACATAAACAATAAAATTAAATGTCCTTTAATCGGGTACTACGGTTAATCAAGGAACAGAACCTGGAAAACAGAAGAAATCGAAGGGAAATGGAAATAAGGAAAATAAAAATACACCAAGAAAAATTACCTCCTCTCTCCCAAAAAATGACTTTCCTAGTGTAACAAAGTCAGTTCCTGTTCTCTTAGGACTTTACCACCAAAGTACTTTAAGACATGTTGCATTTTTACAACCATTAGCAAAAACAGATTCCCTGTCTTGGCATTTACACTAAGGACTAAATGAAACTGATCGAGAATCAAAAGCTCTGTACCTGTGGCTAAGAAAACTGGTGGAAAGTGAAGTGAACCCTCGGGTCATCCCCTAGAAGTTTCTTCCCCCTAAGAACTTAATTTGTTGATGTAAGCTTATTTATCTGGGTCCTGCCTGTCTCCTGACCTAAAATTGGTGGGCATGTGAACACATGCTGAGGCACATCTGGATTTAGAAAGGTCAGCCCTTTGAAGGACACAGTGTAAGCATGAAGCCCTTGTATGACTTTATTCAATCAAAATGAAGTAAGGAACATTCAAGTTCACTGGTCTGAGAACTTCAGAGCACCCCAACTCCCCATTCCAACCCCCCTCATGTCCAGTGGTCACTCTGCCAGCCACAAGTGACCCATCTGCTGCTCCCTGGTAGTGTCCCCTGTGGTGAAATGTGACCCTGCCTCTAGAGTCAAGGAGCCAGTTCAGTCCTGGGATCCACTTCCTGCCACGTGGCCTTACCCAGCCCCAGCCCTGCCTGGTAAGTGAGGCTAATGACCCATGATGCTGAGTACATGGGCTTGGGAGTCAAAGGTGCTGGGTTCAAGTGCTGGCCTCGTTGCTGGCTGGCAAGTCACTTGTGTGTCCTCATCGGAAAACCGCACTTATCTCATAAGTTGTCGTGAGGACTGAGAGAACGTCTGCAAACAGCTTAGAGCAGTGCCTGCTGTATGGGGGCCGCTCAGTGCATGGTGGCTTTTACTGCCGCCTCAGCGACAGCCATGACTCTTATTGACATGAAAAGGCAAAAAATCAGTTTTTAAATTAGTAAAATGATTATTCTAACCTCCAAGGGACCTCAGTGGGCCTTTAATCCCTCCTTCCTACTTTTAGCGCCTTCACTAATCCAGTGCTGGCTGAAGCGGGCAGAGAAGGGAATGAGAGTTAAACTCAAACAGCTGGGTCCAGCGTGAAGCCGCAACAGCGTGTCTGGTGCGAACAAGGCCAGGGCGCTGGGTCCCCGGGCCCCTGGCCAGGGCCTGCTGCTGGGAAGAGAAGTTCCCAGGCGGGGAGGGCACTGGCCGATGCCGGACGTCTCCGAGCAGCCTCCCGTGCTCGCCTGCCTGCAGAAGTCCCATCTGCTCTGCAGAAGGGCGGCAAGAGCCGCGGAGGTGGAAAGCAGCAGAGCCCCGGGGAGCTGGGGGCTCCCTGTAACTTCCTCCGCCTTCCCAGCGGTGTCCTGCTGCAAGTTACAGCGCTCCTTCGTCTTCTCCATGTGTAACCGTGGACACTAACAGCACCTGCTCCAAGGGCTGCGCAACGGTGAAAAGGGGAAGCCTCCCAAGTACTTTGCACAGGGTCTAGCATTGACGAAATGCTTGGCAAATGGCAGCTATAATTCCACGTTACTATTACTACTGATTCTTTCACATCCCACCACAACCCAAGTGAATGACATATAATTGTGAATCACTGTGACACAAACGGCTGATAATTTTAAAGGCCTCAGGCCTTAGGATGGGTAGTGAGGGGTTAAGTGGCATCTGGAACATACTCGGTTTTCTTTCATGCAGGCTGGCTCTATCCCCACTCTTGTTCCCATGAACACTCGTTGACTCAGGTCCCTGCCACTTAATAGAATGGATCGGCTGGGAAAGGAAGCTGAATCCTTCCTCATGCACCCCAACGGACAGCCATGACCACGTGGGTCTGCTTTTAAGGACCAACCTCAGAGAGAGAAGGAAGGGATTCAAAGAGGAGACACCTTCATGGGCTAGAGGGATCTCATTGTGGGCCCTCGTGATTAAGTTGTCTCTTAAAACTCATGCCTGTCAGAACTCAAAGGATCAAAGTCCTCTGGGGATCATGAGGACCATCACAGTTGGGATGCTTATGCTTGCCAGTGGCTAATAAATTGTAGAATCCAAACATAAGTCCGGAAGACAAGACCTATTACACAGCTACTAGTTGCTACCCTCTAAGCAGCTAGAGGGCTGAAAGCCCCACCTGGAAGAAGCCAGAACCCTCTCTTCCACGGGCCCCTGCCCTGGAGCTACCCACTGACCCCAGAAGCTGGCAAGAGCCCAGACCTAAAGTGCCAAGTTGTGCCAGCGATGACCACGGAACGGCCTCAAGGTCAGACCTACCTTGGGAACAAGGTACTGCTGATCCGTGCAGGCCAGGACATGGGCCTCGGCCCGGCCCAGTTCACTCTGGGGGAAGTGAGCATTCATCTCATCTCCATCAAAGTCAGCGTTATATGCCTTGCAGTTGGCATAGTGGAGCCGCAGGACTTTCTCTTCAGGCAGGATGCGGGCGTGGTGTGCCTGGATAGAGGGTCTGTGCAGGGTGGGCTGTCGGTTCAGCAGGAGGATGTCCCCATTCTTCACATGCCGGCACACCTGAGGGCAGAGCAAAGAAAACTGGAGTCAAACCCTCGAAATCTCTGAGAAATAGCTACGAGCCCAGCATAGCCCTGATCCTGGCTCTGGGCTCAGAGATGCAAGCAATAGAGGAGGCTCCAGGCCCCTGTCCAGTAGTCTCTGTTTTCTTCAGAGGGACATAACCTTTCCGGAGTCTTGGATTCCTCTGGCTATTGGTCTAGGGAAAGAAATGGACACATCTGAAGACAGCATATCTGCACGTAACTGTGAAACCCTTCGCTTGAAAGGGCCTGGCAGACCTCTGGAATCCCCCCTCCCACAGTCACATGGGAGTACACTATTCTAAACACGAATCCCATGTTTTAGAACTACCTGACCCAACCTCAAATGGTAGAGTCAGGGAACACAGGGTTCTGACCCCTACTTTAATGCCTTCTGAAAACATTCTTTCACACTTAAAACATTAATAAGAAATTTAAATTGCCATAATCTTTTGGGAAAGCAATCTGACAAGAGAATTAAGAACATTTAAAACTCATTTCCTAAATAAATAAAAATATATTAAACCTTCAAAAAAAAAGTAAATGATAAAGTCAAATAAAAATAAATAAAACTCATTTCCTCTTGGCATTTCACGAGGAAAAAAGTACCAATGTAAGGTTACATAAACATATATGTTTAAGCAGCAGTGTTTACAGTGGAAAAACCTGGAATAACTTGGGCTGCCCCACAGAAGTGGCTTGGGTATATATAAACCATGCTATACACTATGGAATATTATGCAATGATGAAAACAGCGGAGTCAAATCTATACTAGTCCTGAAGTGATGGCAACAACGTATTCCAGTAAAAAAACAAACAAAAAAGTCCACGTGCCAATTAAGGTGACAGGAGGAGGCAATTGAAAACCCGACACAACTCTCCATGTATTTATATACGTGAGGAAAAAGGCTCCTTGGATCCTTACCAAGCTGTGACCATTGACTTCGCAAGGGCCAGGGCACGTGGGGAAGAAGTAAGGCACAGAGTACTTACCACTTTTACCTCCACCCATCTTAGTAGTGTTCCTGTGACAAGGAGCATGTATTACTTCTATACTTTTTTTTTTTTTAAAGAGGTATTTAGCCATTTTTAAGGAAAGCAAGAACTACTGCAGAAGTGATATGCTCATTGTGGGGGGAAAAATTAGAAAATACAGACAAACTTAGAGAACAGAACAAAAACCACAAGTAATTTTACTCCTTAACGATGGCCAGCATTCACACTTTCTCCCCTTATCGATATGCCACCGGTCATGTCCTCCAGACAGAACACCACTTCCCACAAAGCTGACTTCAGTGGAAGGCTCATTAAGCCTCATGCTGCCCTTCAACTCCCCTTGAATCAACTGCTGGGCTCCCTAAATGGTGAACATGAACGCTATTTTAAAAAGCGAACACATGAAGGCCGCTGCTGCCCCAACCATTCTGCAGGCCCCCTGAGCAGCCCAGAGCAGTTACGGGGACCAGGTCAGACCCCTCCCACCCAAGTTCCCCCAAATCACAGCAGGCAACAGGTTGGGAGTAACAAATTACTCCAAGTCTAGTCTCTTTTTGTGTTGCCCATATTTATGAAGCTGAACCAGAAAGGTGGCTACTGAGAGGCTAGAAGTGAACAAAAGATCCTCCCCATCCTTCCCCGCACCTCCCTCCCAACACACAAATTTTCAGCTGAGCTGAAGGTTTCCTCCAGGTCAGGGAAGCAGGGAGCAAAACCCTGAAATTCTAAAAGGCAGTCCTAAAAGCACTTAGCAATGAGGCAGTCTTTGTGCTCCCCAAGGAGTTCAAACCTTCCCCTCTCTGCTCCCACATCCATGTTTCCAAGGAGACCCATACCTCCTGTGGATTCCCATGAGGGTCTGCCCAGAGCACGTCACAGAGCCTGAGGTGACTTTCAAGGTCTTATTTCTTTAGCCTCTCCAGGGAGAAACTGCCCAGACCTGTGGCCCAGGCCCAAAACCCCAGGATGGGCCTTGGATTTGAGTCTCGTAAATTCGAGACCTCCTCCAGCATAAGCAAACCCCACAGCTGGGAAGGCACACAGGCCAGTCTGACAGGCAGCAGCCAATCCAAACAGAAGCCCTGGAGCACAGGGAGCTCCCCTCGCCAACCCAAACCTGAGGCCCTTCCTTTCTCTTGTCTCTAAATAAATACTGCAGTGAAAATTAGCATGCCCCGGTGCCCGAGTCAGAGTTTTCTGAGGCACACTCAGAGCCAAGGAGTGGCTTCTGGCAGGCTGCTGCACTGGGAAATGAGGCTCAGCCGTCCTGGCCACCTCCTCCTGATTTACAAGCCCCAGAGGAAGGGACAGAGGTTTCACACCTCCCAGGGGAAACGGGTCCTGTCAGTCATCCCCTCCCTTCTCGCCTAACCTGCTATGCGTCCTTCCGGGGACCCGGCTCTCTTCTTCCCGCTCATGTCCCCCGGCCCTTGAGCCAGTCCCAATCTACATGTAACACATTAACCAAAGTCTTTTAAAAATACAAATAAATTAGAAGTACGCGTACATGTGATTATATAAACACTGTGTATAAAGTTATTGAGATTTTGGAAAATAATCATCCTTAGTCCCCAGGTCCTGATATAAGAACCGCTTTTCCTTCATGAAGTCCCTTCCTGTCTCTGCCCGTGGATTATCAGGTCTAATGTGGCCCTCTGCCCTCAGAGCCTCCCGCACCTTAGCCTGGACCCATCTACTCCACAGGGGTTTCCTCAGCACCTCCACACTGGGAGCTGAGGAGAGAGTGGTGAGCAGAACAGCCTGCCCGCACCCTCCTAGCATTTAGGAACTGGAGGGAGGATGAATGGGGGCACGCATGGTGACAACACAATGCAGTGAGAACAACAAGGGCGGGCGAGAAGGCCGAGGGTGTGGTGGGAACACAGTGGGGGGCAGACCTCATACAAGTTTCGAGAGTGGCAAACTACGGCACACAAGTGGGATGCCTGCTTTTAGAAACAGTCTTCTGGGAACACGGCCAGGCCCATTCACTTGTGCGCTGCCCACGGCGACTCAGACACTACAGGGCCAGGCTAGACCAGCTGCAGCACAGCCTAGAACATTTACTGCCTGGCCCTCCGCTGGAAAAGTCTACAGACCCCTGCCCTACAGGACGAGGGCTTGGCCGAGCCCTGAAGGACTAGCAAGAGCTGGCCGGGGAGTCTGGGGGAGGGCAAAGTGATGCAGGCGGGGACACAAGTGCACACGTGCAAGGCCCTGACGGGGACCAGCTGGAGTGTGGGGGGTGAGCTGAGAGGTGAAGCTGGGGGAGAAAGCAGGGACAGTGTGCCCAGGACTGGAACTTAAGCTGGGAGACCAGCGACCAGGCCAACCGCATTCAACCTCGCCGCTGCTCGGAGCTCACGTCAGTCACTTCCCAGGAACTGAGCGCTACGTGGCAGCAGGCCAACCTTCCTTCTCCCAAACCCTGAATCTCGGCTCACCTCCAACCCTACAGACGTTAACTACAAGGCCATGTGAAACTCTCCGTGCATTTGCCTCATCCTCACATCCCAGTCACATCAGAAACCCGGTACCCTTCTGCTTTTCTTTCAAACGCCCTTAGCTCCTGGCTCTGCTGCCTCACGAGAGCTCCGGGACCTGGCTCCTCCCACTGCTCAAACTGCTCTCCTGCGTCACAAGTGACCTTCTCTTGGACAAATCAGATGCGCCTTCCCAGGGTTTCCTCACTCTTCTCAAACTTCACATTTAACTTCACGAGCAACTAACAAGTGCCCCTGGGAGAGCTGAAGATACCCAGGGACTGGTTTTGACCTGGAGGAGCCCCACAACCACGTGTGGGAAACAGATGCAGATGTCAAATGAGGTGGCCCAGCCCCCCACTCTCCTCCCTCAGCTTCCCGGTTCCTCCTTCCCCTTCCTCCTGCTCCGCCATTTCAGCCCCAATGAGTCCCCCATTTTCTCTCCATTGTACTTTGTGTTCAGAGTCTAACCCTCTGAAAATCTCATTTCCTAACTCTACGGCCCCTAATTTAAGTCCCGCACACCCACCTTTCATAGAAGATGGGCCTTTAGATTCCCCACCATCACCTCACTTTACAGGGGCCGTGTGCATCTCCTTCCAGGGCGCTCCCCACTCTCCTGCTTCATTCTCACCTCTTGTGTCTTCCACAGCCCTGACCCCCAGACTCTCTAAGTCCTTCCTGGCTCTCTCTCTGAAACATCCCTGCCATAACCTTCCCTTCCCTGCAGCCCTGTGGCTGGCTGTCACCTGCCTCCTGATGACTCCAAACCCTCCCTGCCCTCCCACCCTGCCCATTCCCCTCAGCATCAAGCACGTAGCCACAGGCCTCCACTGCTAATTCCCTACTGTATCCGCCACACCACTGAGCCATGGGGCCACGCATTCCCTGCCCCCACCACACCATAAACTCCAGAGTAGTGGGACCTTGTCTGTGGTGAGCGGCAAAGTGCGGGGGCGGAGAGAGCACTGGGTCCTCCATACCGCCTGACCCCTCCTCTCAATTTGTCTGACCGGGAGACTCTTTGGTACGTTTGGCTTGAGTTAATATGAAGATCACTTCATGTCTGTCTTGCTTCACCCTAAGTTATGTGACCTCTGCCTTGGGTCTCCTGCATCTCTCACAAAGCTCCTACCAAGACACCAGGCCGTTGAGAAAGGCAGAATGATCCCGTGAGCCTGAACGTAAACCTTACTTAACGCACTGGAAAAGAACAAAGCAGGTGGTCTGATCTGTCTGCCCGCGTCTCCCACCACCAAAGCAGAACTCCGGCAGCGTGCTCCTGCCCCGCCTTGGCAAAGCTACGAGACAGAAGCAGCGAGACGGCAGGTTGTGGGGAAGAACCAACAGCACCATAACCAGGCCAGAGTGCTTCCCTAACCCTTCTGTTCCTCCTCTGAAGTTCCTTCAAGGCTGAGGGAGACTGTAGAGTTCGAACTCATTACAAAAGAGGATCTTGATCGGCCACTGGGCGTGCCCGAGTCAGAATGCAAGGAGAGGTCTAACAAACGTGCAGAGGAGACGTGGTGAAGAAACGCACTCGGCAGCCCCCGACGCTGCACACTCACCCACCAACTAAACCCAGATAAAAACCCATTTCACCTCAACAGCCACCGCTAATGCCTGGCTAGGGGTCATCTGTCATGCTCCCCCCAGTATAAATGGCTAGCTTTAACAGGACACAAATGAGGTCACCCACCGATTTCACACCCCCAGCTAATCAATCACGTACTCTTTCCAGTGGAGCCCGAATACACCTTAGGATCCCTTAACACTGTACCATGGGCAGCCATCAGCAATCGCCAGAAAAAGAGGCAAAGGACGAAACCCATGGGTTATCAGTTATCACGGACATATCACACAGGACATTTCCTTCCTTCAGAGCAGCTCTCAAATGCCAGCGTGTAGAAAAACCCTCTAAAGCGCTTGTTCAACACAGATTCCTGGGCCCCATTCCCAGATTCTAATCCATTTGGTGGGGGGTGGGGAGGAGAGAGTGAATGTGCATTTCTCACAAGCTCTAGGGATGCTACCGCTGATGGTGATCTGAGGACCACCCTTTGAGTCGCCCTGCGTAAGGACAGCAAATTTGCCTGCCCCAGGACCACAACTGAGTTATTATTAGAGAGCATTTCTCAAGCCTTGGATGGGTGCCCGACACTGTGCTGCATGACATGGAACAGCCAAGCGAAGCTTTAATCACGGGGTCAAGATCCTAGGAACTCCAGCTCCAGCTGGGGAGGTAAAGCAAGCACCATGAAGCCCCTAAGGAACACCCACATATGGGGGAATCTTCATCCCGGGGAGGCATAACAGCTCATAGATTCCTGTGTCAGCACTCATGACTTACAGTCACAGGGGAGCCCCTGATCAAATCGGCCCACTACTCACAATTTTTGTCCCCTGGGGCTTAGGTGCCCCCGTGGCTGGTGTCAGGAGCTGTTTGGCTACAGCCTCCCGCTGGGTCAGGTCGACGGCACTCAGGGCTGTGCGGCTGCCATCCTCATTGATGACCATGGAGGCTCCCGGGTGTACATTGGGGCCATTGATGACTGCTTGCCTCAGTTCCTGAACATTCCAGGGAGTGACTGGCTGAGGGTAGGTCAGTTTTGTGGCAAACACCTGGAGATGGAATGAATATGAAAACTCAGGGTAGGCAGAAAAGATGATACTGATTCAAAATCTGACTCAACAGGCTATGCAACTTCTTCCCCAAGACACGGAGGTGCTATCTGTGCCACAAAGGTCCTTCAGGGAGTAAGCAACATCCTGTCTGTCTTCTCCATAGAGCCATTTTTCTAGACTTGAGGCCTCAAGGGAACAGAGAATGGACCTCCTTTCCTAGCACTCTGTCTGAAGAGAATAACTGGAGTGTTGCAGTTTACACATTAGAATTTTGGTAACTCATTCTAAAACTTCGTCATTTCCTCACCCACCGATCAATTCATACTCTCCAGAGGGAACACAGAATGGGACACTAGGTTGAGAGAGGTGGCAAATCCCTGCCCTCAAATACCACACCATAGCCCTCTCCGCTCTCGCAGACATCACCAAGTGATCGTGGCCCCTGCCCTGAGCCCAGACATGGCGTCGGAGCCTCTACCCGGCAGTTTTGGCTGCCACTACGATCAGGGCGGCGCTTGAGATGAAACCGATTCGGTCTCCGGATACACGAGAAAATACAGGGTTCCACTTAACGCTAGACCTGCAAGGTACTCCAAGAAAAACGAGTTTCCTGGTTAAGTGAGTTTCTAAGCTGCTGAATATCATAAATCCTCTGATGCTTCCAAATGCGCTTCACTACTCTTCACTGCCTCTGAGGAGTCTGACGTAAAGAACCTGGTTGGATTCTGTCCAGGTTCTTTGTCCAGGTTTCTGCTTGGATGACACTGCAAAAGGCCTTACCTGCCACCCCAGCCAGCACTCCCTTTCCCCATCGCCTGCCCTACTTTTGCCAATGCACTGACCACTGCCTGACAGAGTGTTTATACTCCTATGTATTTGTTTATTCGTCTCCACCACTGGAATGTAAGCTTCTCAGGGGACACTCTAGTCTGTCTGGTTGACTGCTAATCTCTAGCTTACTCCCCAAACCTACTTTAGCACCTCTGCTCCCATAACACCTCTCCACGGTGCTCTACGGAAAGTGTGTGCCACGAGGCACCAAGAGCTAGTCTCACACAGTGAGCTCCTCATGGCCATCCTGTGAGTAACACCCCCCAGCCACCATGGCCTGAGACCTGGAACAGGCTAGAGGTGGGCAGAGGAGTAACTTCAGAGTCCCTCCTTAGGACCAGCCATTATGGAATGAAACCAGATCCAAGAAAGGGAGGCCCAGGCCCCCTGAAGGTAGAAAAAGGAGGCAGCACTAAAGGTCTCTCCTAAAGCTGGGATGCTTTAAGGCATTGTGAAGCCAAAGCCTACCGGGATAGCCCAGGCCTTCAGTCCAGAAAAAGCAATGAACAGCAGTAAATGGGCCTCTCTTCCCAGGGCCTCAGACTCAGGAAGGTCACCACTGGGCTTCACAAGGCCTTTCTCTGCCACCTGGTCCAGCTTCTGGATGGAAAGACCTAGGTTCTAGGAGGCAGTGGGCACAGGACTAAGCTTTCTCTGACTCCTGTCCTCTGACAGTGTGCCCTTGCCCAGGGAGCCAAGTGTGCCCCAGAGGGACGAGGCGGTGGGCATGCAGGGGGCCGTCAGAACACTTGAGCTGCGCTCATCACCAGTGCTCCCCCGAGAGCAGCAGAGGGGGCAGCATATGAGGAAATGAGACTCTCCACAAAGGGAATTAAACCATCTTCATATTACTGACCTCAAGGCCCATTAAGGAGGGAGCCGATTAAAGCGCTGCTAATGAGCCCCACAGCTTGAAAGGGTGGGGAAGTGAGAGGAGGAGGCCGGCTCCCAGAGGAAACACTAATGGGTGGATGGGGCAAACCGCTTACCCCGGAGGAACTGGGAGGATGGATGACACGCATACAGCCCTCTCTGGGGGTGCTCTCTTCCCTTCCTGTGTCTGGCAACTAAGGGTACACATTCCTGACTCCTAATGCCAGGCAAGTGCATGAGGCGCAAATCCCCTTTTCCCTCTTCCTCATCTCTGTCATGTGCTCAATTTGACCAGGAAGGTTTCGACTAGGCTCTGAGAGGCAGGGGGGAAGACATGCAGGCGGGGATGTGGAATGCCCTGCAGTCGGCTCCCTGCTTGCCCAGCAAGTGGGTCTTCCTTGTAGGCAGGTGTTTGGAGATTTGGCGAGGAGTGAAAGCAACTCCATCACACAGCCTCATGTCCCCTCCAAACAGCTTGTTCAGGAAGAAGCATAAGCTATCCCCACCCAAGCCACCACAGTCGGCTGTACACCTTCTCCCCAGCCCTCAACGTTCCCATGTGCCACCCAACAGCAGCTGGTGAGGACTCTCCACACACACCATGGGAATTCCAATTTCGTTGGTGTTAATGTACATATCTGGGCAGATGACCGAACGGGCCGCGTAGTCCACTCGCTTCCCCATCATGTGTTTTCGGAATAAGCCATCCTTCTTCTCCAGGATCTTTATGCAGGAAAAAGTCCACAGAAAGCATCATTAGGAAAAAAAAAGTCAAATATACTTGTTATTTTCTTATTTCAATACAAGTACACTTATTATTTAATCCCTTCAGCTAGCAACAGGGATCCAACCTCCTGCTCACCTGTCTAATGCCAGGGTACTTTTCCATCATTAATTTGTCCATCTCACTATCAAACACAATATTGACGTGGCTCTGAAGACGAATCCAAATGTTGTAAAGTTTGTCTGTGAGGGACTGGCCTGGAAGCAGACTCAAAAAGGACTGGTCCAGAACAACTGAAGAGTCTTTTTCCTGGCAAGACACAACCAAGAAAACAGGCAAGATGGAAAAACCTCAAAAAGGTCAGGTTTGGTTTTATTTTTCTTTCTTCCTCTCGCTCTGACACATGATGAGCTCTGGAGTCTGCCTTTATGTCTTTTGAACGCGACAGATCAGTGGCAAAAGTGCTAATAAATCAATCTTCTCAGTTTGTATCAACAAAACATCAGCCCCATTATGCATTTACCAGCCTGTCTTTTTCTGATAGTAAAATGAACTCAAGTTTCTTTCTTTTCTTTCTTTTTTTTTTTAAAGACCAACACACATTTTCTACCTCACAGTTTCTGTAAGTCAGGAATCTGGGTACATACAGCTCAACTGGATTCTCTGCTTCAGTCTCTCCTAGGCTGTAACAGAGTCAGCCCGAGCCAGGGTCTCATCTGAAGGTTCAACTGGGGAAGAATCCATCTCTAAGCTCACATGGTTGTTGGCAGGGTGCAATTCCCCTAGAGCTGCTAGACTGGAGGCCTCAGGTCGCCCAGAGGCCACCTGCAATTATGTGCCTCATGGGTTTCTCCAACATGGTAGCTTATTTCATTGAAACGTGTAAGCCAAGAAAATAAAGGAAGGGTTGGCTAGCAGCAGCTGCTGAGTCCCTTACTACCTAATTCTTCAAGCTACCCTAGAAATTCTTCCCCCTATTCTCTTCATAAAGCTGTTATCCCACCAAATAACTGATTCTCACATGCAATTTTACCTTTATTTATGGTTTTGGAAAAACTTAATCCAAAGCACTTACAAAAACACAAGTAAAATAATTTCTCAAAAGGAAAAACGTTGGCCATACTATTTTCTATGTTATAAATTAAAATATTGGTCCCCAACTGAAATATGTCAAGGGACTGGCTGAAATCCAAGCCTCACTGGAATTTTTAACCAATCCTTTTTAATATTTCTGTCCCTGACTCTGCCTCCTTTTCTTCTCTCCCTACGTGCCTAGGAGACAGGCTCTTAACCCGCCTTACAGCACCACCTATTAACACTGTCTGGCCACCTACTAGCCCCACCTGCCTGGCTATGACACAAGAGCTAGACAGATGTCCCCCAGTGTGAGACGAGAGAAGAGACCTGTCAGTGTGTTGGGAGAGGTATAGGGGGAGGGGTGAAGATCTAGTAAATAAGAATGACATGAAAACCATTAGTGAAGTGGGTTTGTCCTCAACCCTGAGAAATAGAGGAGTCTTCTTTACTTATAGGGAGGACAGATGTATTTTCTCTCTGGCGGAGGGAGCCTCATAGGGACAGACTGTCACCTATACGACAACAGGGGCCTTGTCAGCCTAACTCACTGCCTATGACATTACCTGGCTCAGGGCTATGTGATTACCCTTATAATGAGTCCCGTGAGAGGGCTGCCATATGAATGGAATGTGGGGAGCATATGGGGAAAGAAATAAGAACGGGTCCTGTTAATCACAAAGAAAGAAGGCACCGTGACTTCAGGTAGCAAGGACCTTAAGAATCAGAGGATACTGTTTATTTCTGCAGACTCTTAGCTTTTTTTTTTTTTTTTTTTTAACAAATGGCTGCTCTATTTTCAAGGAGCATTAAAATAAAAATTCTCAGCCCTGCTTATGGGTCCTGGCTACCCTATGGCCTTCCCTCCAAACTGGACCAGGGCCTGCAGATGGCACATTTCTCTTAGACTGAAGGTTTCTGAAAGCATACTACCCTGACAGATCAGAAAACTTCAGCAAAACCGAAGACAGTGCAGAGCAGAATACGGGTAACCCACAGCACAGTGGCCAGGCAGACAGTGGCGCCACCTGGTGATGGGCCTGGCTCCCAGCCGAACTGCTGCCGGCAGCTGGAAGGGAGCCCGAGAGCCCCATCCACTGACACAGCCCTTCCTGCTTCCATCCAGGGAACATCTCAAAGCTGGAAAGGACCTCAGTGATCTCAGCAACTTCTCCGAGTGCCTGATTCATCTTTACACCCACTGAAGACCTGGCACACTGAAGTAGCTCGGAAAGTCGGCTGAAACGGGAAAACTGAATCCCACGCTATGATCTACTGACGAGGAAACAGAGGCCTCAAACATGACAGTCCTATTCTGGGGAATTCCTAGAATCAACAATGGTGCCCTCCTGAACCCAATGCTAGAGGTCTCAATGAGCCAAAAACAGACCTGGATGACTCAGGCTCTGGTACTGTAACCCAAAAGGGACATTCTAAGAGCCCACAGGAAGCAGACTCTTCTTTCTAGAGCTGCCAGTCACTGCCAGTGAAGGCAGGTGGCCCAGAACAGCCTATATGTAAAACCTTACCACCAACCATACACATTTTACAGTGGAGACGGGCCCACAAAATCAAAGCAACTCAGCAGAGGTCACTGGGGCAAGACCTAGATCTTTCTATGCTCTTATCATGCTTTCCCCCAACATTACTGAGGTTTCCCCAAATGACGGCTTGCACACAAACTGTACAAAATTCCCAACCAGCAGCTCCCTGCACCCCCAGCGTTCTGCATCTGCACTGTGGGCCTTAGAACTAAGCAGACAGGCTGACGACATCAGCTCCAAGGCAGCCCTGACCTCATCTTTGGCAGGTGCTGCCACCTCACACGGCAGCTCCTGTTCTTGGGCCATCAATGCCAGAAGTTTTCGGATCAGAACCATGTCCTTCATGACAGCCTGCAAGTTCACCGTCTGGCCATTGGTAAACATCTGGTCCCCCAGCCGATTGACAGGGCGATACCTGTAGGGGGACACATGGAATCAGGAACCGTTGAGCACGAGGGAAGGGTCATATTCTTCAGCCTCTTGCCAATCCCTGCTACAAGCAACTCACAACCCACCACACTCGGAAACCAGCCAACATTCCTACCGCAGTCAGGACGAACACTCCCAGCCACCTGCAACCCGGGTGTGGAACCGCTGCTTTGCTTCTTAGAGTGCTAGGCCCTCCAGGCCTCTCCCAGAGGTCATTATTCCACCGCTCAATAAGCCTTTTTCGGCGAAATAAAGCTAATTAAAGGGCATTACCTTGAGGGTGGCACGACCAGGAAATCCAAAAAGAACATACTGGGATTGAATCTAGACTCCATGTCGACATTTTCCAGTCCCAAAAAAAGGTAATTCAGAAAGAATCCTGCATTTGAAATAAGCCAAAACGATCATTTACATCTATGTGTGAGGGCAGGGATGAATGACCACAAAAATTCCACTGGGTGACAAAAAAGAAAAACAGAATACGAAACAGTAAGTAGAGTAAAATCATATTTTTTCTTTCTAAAAACAAGCAAAAAATAGCCTTTCTGTGTTGAGAACCCACACACAGGTGAGATGGTGGTTTAAGGACGAGTGCCACGGCGCCCCCCAGTGCTTAGCTTGGGGCTGAAATGGACAAGGATGGGGAATGAAAACGTCTTGTTTCTCACTACCCTCCTGGACTATTAGACTTATACATGCACGAGCGTGCGTGCGCGCACACACACACACACACAGCTTTGGTTATCTATAAAAAATGTATCTGAAATACAGAAAATCAATAAAAAAAAGTTAGCCTTCTTACAAATAAAACAAAACAAAAAACCCTCCATATAGATGTTATCAAGAAGGCATCATTTTTGTGGATCAAAGCTGTATTTTAAGTTTCCAATGAACTTAAAAGAAAGCTGCAGAGAGAATGAATAAAAGTGTTAGGGCCTGCCACAGAAATGATCACACTAACTTGAGTGCTCTTTTTTTCCCTGACATCACTTATCCCTTCAGCAGCATTTTCATTTTTAAGTGCCTATCATTACACAGCAACTGCATGCAGTGTTCCAGAACAAGAGCACTCTCTGAGGGTGGCGACATTGACCAGATGTCAAACTTGCAGGCTGAATACAGTGCCTAGCTTTTGTTACACACGCAAAAGGAATGGAAGACTCCTTTTCGTAGGGAATTAAAATGTGGAAAAATCCTAAAAAAAAAAGAGTTCATTTTTTGAATCACAGGAGGAATTCCCTTTGAATCCTTTTCTGAAAAAGTTATTAACAGGCATTTAAAGTAAGGTGAGTTACACTGTACCTTCTAGAAAGATGTCAAACTGTATTAAGCGAGGCCCACCCACAGCTGTCATTTAATGACCAGGTTCAGTTACAATGGTTGTCAAGTTCATGTTCTTGCCTGCTCTAGAATGCATTGATGACAATGTACCCTGAAGCCAGCCCCAAACCTATGAACTGAATTCAGGAGAGATCTGTAATTATCACAACTCTGAAAACATAAAAATAATAAGGCAGGATAAATGAGCCCAGAGACTCATTTCAATTTCTTTAGGTTGGTACAGCACCTTCATTCTTCCAAAGGGCAGTAAGATGTTCTTGGGCGCTGGTGGGTGTTAGGTACCCTCGTTTTCCCATCTGGGCTTCCTCAATTCCTAGAGCCAGGAGGGGGAATCAAAGCAAAATAAATCAGTAATAGGAACTCCTTCTGTAATGGGATCTATCATTGCTTTCTCCCCCACCCTGCTGAGCCTGCAATTTGACCATAAAAATCAATCTCTAGGACAGCTTATTCTCAGCTCTGGATTTTTTTCCCCCTTAGCCTAATTTCTAAAGTAATGGAAACAGGGCGCCTGGGTGGCTCAGTTGGTTAAGCGACTGCCTTCGGCTCAGGTCATGATCCTGGAGTCCCGGGATCGAGTCCCGCATCGGGCTCCCTGCTCGGCGGGGAGTCTGCTTCTCCCTCTGACCCTCCCCCCTCTCATGCTCTCTGTCTCTCATTCTCTCTCTCTCAAATAAATAAAAATCTTAAAAAAAAAAAAAAAAAAAAAAATTTTTAAAGTAATGGAAACAGTATAACTATTGCATAAAGCCAAAAGAGCAAAAGAAAAATAAATCATACACCATTCCATTACCACTACTACATACTTTTTTCCCAGTCCTCTGGTTTATACGCTATCTATAATCTTTTTTTTAATTATTTTTTAATCTTTTTTTCTTAAGATTTATTTATTTATTTTAGGGAGGGTGAGAGTGCATGTGTGCACAGGGGAGGGGGAGAAGGAGAGGGAGAGAGAAAGAATCCCAAGTAGACTCCCTGCTGAGTGCAGAGCCCAATGGGGGGCTCAATCTCACAACCCAGAGATCACGACCTGAGCTGAAACCAAGAGTATGATGCTCAACTGACTGTGCCACCCACGCCCCCCTAAGATAACTGTAACCTTAAGTGTGGGTTTATTCTGTACACTGCTTTGCTCGTTTAGTGTCATCTTGTGAGCATTTCTGTATGTTGCCACATAACATTTTTTTTTTTTAAAGATTTTATTTATTTATTTGAGAGAGAGAGAATGAGAGAGAGCACATGAGATGGGGGAGGGTCAGAGGGAGAAGCAGACTCCCTGCCGAGCAGGGAGCCTGATGCGGGACTCGATCCTGTGACTCCAGGATCATGACCTGAGCCGAAGGCAGTCGCCTAACCAACTGAGCCACCCAGGCGCCCGCCACATAACATTTTTAATGACTGCGTGATATTCCACCGAGAGGATGTTTCCTAGTGACCTAACCATACTCTTATAACTGGACATCAGGGTGGATCCTAATTTTCTTACTGTTATGTTACACTATGATTAAAAAATAAAAGACAAAAAACTTTATGCACATGGCTTTATCAGAAAGATTCACAGAAGCAAAATTAGAGATGAGTATGAACATTTTTATGGGTAAAAGTATATTCAATTTCTTCTTACAAATATCATGCAGGTATGTGAGAAGTACACTGATTTTGGTTTCTCAGATTAAGCAAGAGCACTCTGGGGCACTATCAGCTACACCCAGAGTAAGTCAGAAAATCAAATGGGGTTGCCACTCAGGAAACAGGGCTCTAGGCACTTACATGATTAACAAAGAAAAGCAATGTGATCCTGTAGTTTCAAAACTATCAATCTCTGGGTGCCTGAGTGGCTCAGTCGTTAGGCGTCTGCCTTCGGCTCAGGTCATGATCCCAGGGTCCTCGGATCAAGTCCCGCATCAGGCTCCCTGCTCAGTGGGAGGCCTGCTTCTCCCTCTCCCACTCCCCCTGCTTGTGTTCCTGCTCTCGCTATCTCTCTCTGTCAAATAAATAAATAAAATCTTTTAAAAAAAAACAAACAAAGCAAAAACAAAAAACTATCAATCTCTTCTGGGGTACATTCACTGAAATTAGGCATTATTCTATATTCCCTTATTACCACCAGCACAGAAACTCGTCTTGTCTGTGCTCCTAGCACCTGACAGTGTCTAGCACACAGCAGATAATAAAGTCACTGGCTCAAATATACATGTTCAAAACATCCAACAATAATCTATACTTACAAACTCCATTCTTCTTACTTTTTTATTTGAAAGAGTGCGCACACACAAGAAGGGCAGGCAGGTAGGGGGAGAGAGAGAAGCAGACTCCCTGCGGAGCAGGGAGCCTGATGTGGGGCCAGATCCCAGGACCCTGGGATCACGACCTGAGCCGAAGGTAGATGCTTAACTGATTGAGCCACCCAGGCATCCCAAACCCCACTCTTTTGCCTTTTTCTACACTTAAAAAATCGAACTTTAAATTCCACCTCCAATTCTCCAAGTAAGTTTACCATCTGCAGAGGATGTATCCTCACAAGATTCCAGAAAAATATGAAACTTGGATAATAATTAAGAGATGTACCATAATTTAACTAGTCTCTATTGATAAGCACTTAAGTTATTTCCTATTTTAAACTATTTAAACAATACTGTGGTGTGGGTATGTCTAATTCTTAGAAAAGTCATAAAAGTGGAATTGCTAGGTCAAAGAGTCTACACATTTAAAATTTTGATTCCTACAAAAGCAAAACATTTCAATCAGTTAATGCAACTCAAGGAAGCACGGGTATGCAATGAAGAGAGGCTTTGACCCTCGGGGATAACCACAGCATCAGAAAGCTATGTATATTCAGTGGGAAAACACAGATTCCATTAAGCTGAACAACCATCCGTGGGCATTGCTGAAAATGACGATCTGAACTTCCTCTCCTCCTGAAAATCAGGTTTGAAGGTCTGAGGAAGATCAGCTGGATCTGGCAATACTCCCTAGCTCCTGTCCCAGTAGCTCCCAGTACATGAAGTGCCCCACTGCAGTTTCCCCACAGTGAAGGCAGACTAGGGTTGTTCAATCACAGGATTTTAGAGTCAGAAGAAACCTGTGGGATGCCACCTCCTCCCATGCGCTGCGCCCTCCTCAACAAGACATTTGTACAACCTACAAAAACGGATTCTGCCTGGGTGGGGTTTCAGGACATCCCTAACGTGGGTTTCATGCACCTTTAAGAGCTGCTATGTGACAAAGGGGTCTGTCGGGAGGTCAAATAACTTGGGGAAGGCTGGATCACAGTGGAGTATCTTGGCTATAAGGATCCTCATTTTAAAATGCTGATGTGCATCGTGGGGCTTGGGGGGCACTCTGGAGCATCTGCAGAAGGTCACAAGCTTACGGTGCTCCTCACGGGATCACTAGTATGTAGCAACCGTAGAGGCACTGGCCTCACTGCTTGGCTCCCTTTGGCCAAGAACATGGCCAGACCCTTGCTGAGAACACATCACCTGCTCCCCAGAGTTACTGACCTGTGTCACCTGCAGCCCCTTCAGACAGCAGAGGCCACGTGGTCTCCACCTTGGTACTGTGCTCGCCACAGGCATGGTCATTGGCATGAGGCTGAGTTCCCAACAAGTAAATGTTTGCTAAATACTAAAATCCCAATCCTGGAACCACTGAACACTACGGTCATCTTGTTCTTAATGCACAGAATTTTGGGTGGCACCATCATACTCTCATAGCCGCAGTAAAAGATTACTTCAGAAGAATGCATTTGGCAAACGTGGTGGAGGGCTACTTAAGTGCTAGACATTTGCCCCAAAGAAACAGTTATCTTTTAGAATTCTGACCATCTTTGTTCTCAATCTATGAACGTTTTCTAAGGTGCACTAAGAGCTAAATAAAGCAGCAATTCCCAACCTTGAAATTTAGGGGCTATTTATAGGTAAGTGTAGGAAAATCCACCTTTGTGGTTAACCGTTAACCATTAAACAAAATTAAACAGGCTTTCTAAACACAGTGTGGTATCGCTGGAAAAACTGGAGAAATTCAAATAAAGTCTGTAGTTCATTGAATGGTAGCGTACTAAGTGAATTTCTTAGTTTGGACAAGTACACCATGGTGATGAGATGGTACATTAGGGGACAATCAATAAAGAGTACATGAGAACTCTCTGTACTATCTTTGCAACTCTTCTGCAAGCCTAAAATTAGTCTAAGGTAAAAGGTCTGACCCACGCTTTAATAACCTTTCAATAAAAATATTTTATAGTTATACGAAAAAAAATAACAAAATAAAAGGTCTGAGAGTCTGTGTCCCCTCAAGTTTCATGTGTTAAAATCCTTACCCCCCTCCATGTGATGGTATTGGAGGTGGGGCCTTTGGGCAGTGATTAGGTCATGAGAGCAGAACTCTCATGATCAGGACTGGTGCCCTTATAAAAAGACCCCAGAAAGCTCTCTTGCCCCTTTCTGCCATGTGAGGGCTACAGGGAGACGACTGCTGTCAGTGAGGAAGCAGGCCCTCACAGGACATCAGATTTGCCAGCACCAAAATCTTGGACTTCCTAACCTCGAGAACCATGAAAAATAAACGTCTGTTGTTTAGACATCACCCATTCTATGATATTTTTGTTATGGCAGCCTAAACGGACTGAGATAGTTATTAACTCCAAGCCTTGCCAGGGTCCTCAATGTAAAAGATTACGCATCGCTAGGAATAGAACTTATTTCCCTGCCTAGTCCATATTCTCAAGCTCTGGAATAAAGTTTAGTAACAATAGGCTATGGACTTTCACTCATGAAATCTTCTCAACTCTGGGCAAGAAGTTTTGTTATTGCCACTATATGGAGTTGAAAATGAAATTCCAGGGATGCCTGGGTGGCTCAGTCGTTAAGCGTCTGCCTTCGGCTCAGGTCATGATCCCAGGGTCCTGGGATCGAGTCCCGCATCAGGCTCCCTGCTCTGCGGGAAGCCTGCTTCTCCCTCTCCCACTCCCCCTGCTTATGTTCCTGCCCTCACTATCTCTCTCTCTCTGTCAAATAGATAAATAAAATCCTTAAAAAAAAAAAAAAAAAAGAAAGAAAATGAAATTCCAGGGACCTTCTGTAAGCCACTCAAAATAAATAGCAGGATGAGGGGTCACTCCCAGGTTATGCTTTTTCCATCCTGGCACACTGACTGCATCACAAAAAATCAACAGTTAACATCTACAAAGCATACTATACATGGCAGGCACTGGTCTCTATTTGATATGGAATATCTTATTTAATCTTCACCACTTCAAAAGAAAAAACAAAAAACCTATTTAAACAATCTCATGACTACAAAAATAAAAAAGAAGACATACAGATGACCAACAGACACATGAAAAGACGCTCAACATCACAAATCATCAGGGAAATGCAAATCAAAACCACAATGAGATATCTCCTTACACCTGCCAGAATGGCTAATATCAAAAAGACAAGAAATAGCAAGTGTTGGCAAGGATGTGAAGGAAAAAAAACCCCTCGTACACTGTTGGTGGGAATGTAAATTATTATAGTCACTGTGGTAAACAGCATGGAGGTTCCTTAAAAAATTAAAAATAAAAATACCATATGATCCTATAATTCCACTACTGGGTATCTGGGCAAGGAAAAGAAAACACTAACTTGAAAAGATATACACACTCTTATGTTTATTACATCATTACTTACAATAGCCAAGATAGGAAAGCAACTTAAATGTCCATCAACAGACTAACAGGTAAGGAAGATATGGTGAATAATTACACAATAGAATATTACACAGCCATAAAAAGGAGGAGATCGAGCCACTTGCAATAACATGGATGGACCTAGAAACTATTACGCTTAGTGAAATAAATCAGATTGAAAAAGACAAATACCATATGATGCCATTCATAAGTGAAACCTAAAAAAAAAATGAATAAACAAAAAGTACAAACAGAACTATAAGTACAGAGAACAAACTGATGGTTGCCAGAGGGGAGAAGGGTGGGGGGTTGAGCAAAATGCGTGAAGGAGATACAGGCTTCCAGTTATGGAATGAGTCAGTCACAGGAATAAAAGGCATAGCATAAGGAATATGGTCAATGATATTGGGATAGTGTTGTATGGTGACAGATGGTAGCTATACCTGTGGTGAGCACAGCATAGTGTATAAACTTATCAAACCACTGTGTTGTACACCTGAAACTAATGTAACGTGTCAAATAAAAAAAATTTTAAATAAATGAAAGATTTAAAAATAGAAGTACTAAGTCTCTCAAAATTTTTCCCAAGTACCCCATTGGCAGAGCAGAGCTGAGAAGGGGACACGCTACTCCAGGAATCTGAGTGGACAGCCAGGAGCAGCCTGTGGAAAGTGCTGACATTCTTTGAATGCTCACAGTTTTTCTTTAAAACTCACCTAGAGGGCGCCTGGGTGGCTCACTTGGTTAAGTGTCTGCCTTCGGCTCAGGTCGGACTCCCTATTCAGTGTGGAGTCTGCTTCTCCCTCTACCCTTCCCCCCCCAGCTCGTGCACTCGCTCTCTCTCCCTCTAATAAATTAAAAAACAAAAACAAAAAACTCGACAATAAAGTGGTTCTAAGTATTTGCCAAGTAGATTTCTTAACTTCTTCCTCAAGAATCTTCCAGAAAAATGACCGCCTGAGGCAAGATGTACCTCATTCAACCCATGGGGCACTGCCTCATAATGTAGCTCAGCCTATCAGTTCTAGATGAGAGGCCAGGGCTGGGCACTCACTAGGGTCCCCTCCAACCATCCCAGGCTTGGACCCCGCCCCACTGCTGGCCCACAACAAACACACAGGCGAGAAATGTGGTAACGACCAGGTATTCCCCAGGGTCGAGACACATCTGTTGGCCATGGACCTCCAAGGGCCCAGCCTGCTTACCCAGGGGCTCTGTGTCCTTCTGGTCAGCCTTCTTGTGCACCATGGCTGGGTATGTGACTGTCAGCTTGCTGTTGTGCTCCTTTCGGACAACTGACCGCCCGGTCCTACATGTGAGAACAGTTGTGACTCAGGAGAGAAAAACCTCAACAAGGCATTGAGGAACAGCCATGATTGACTGGCCAGAGGCTTCTGGGGAAAGAGGGAGGCAAGAGCCTGATACTCACTTGCAGTGAGGACACCGCTTAGCAGTCATATGTGCCTTCCAGAAGTAAGCAATGAGTTTGCTCCTGCTCTCACAAACATTTTTCACCTGTTGAGAAAGGGCAAAAAACTTTGCAGTACCATTTGGAGAACTCTGGAGTACATATTCACTTTATAGTTTTTACCTTTAAAAAAACAAAACAAAACAAAAAACAGATGAAGCCATCCTCTTCCTTAAGTAACATTCTCCACCGAACTCTTAATATAGCTAAACTCTGCCAATTACTAAGTGACTTCTTTAAGCCTTAAATTTCCTCAACCATAACATGAGAATGAGAATAACCACCCCACCAAGCTGTTACTAAGAGCTCATGAATGCAGTGGGGGGGGAGGGGGGCTTGGAATACAGTAAGTTCTCAAGAAATGCTAGTTAATTTAAAACAAACCTCTCCGTATGCAGCTAGTACACCTTCCCTGCTGCCTCCCTCGGATGGCCCTCAGGGTCCTAAGAAAGGCACATCCACAGTTGAGCTACACGAATGGGTCTGAGCCTGGCTGCAAACGAAACCTTCCTGGGAGCTTTTGTAACTTCCATCGGACTCTACCCTAGACCAGTGACATCAGAATCCCGGGTGTGAAACTTGGGCAGAAGGTAAATTAGATTTTAAGATCAGTACTTGAAAGATGAGTACCAGTGCTGGGGGGGGTGGGGAGGTGAGGAGGTATAGCAATGGTTGCGGTAGACTGGAGAGAGCAAGAAGAAAAGGACCCAGACACCACTCTCAAAGTGGGACAGCATACATCACAAGCTTGCTGTACCTACACCACCTAACTTCACTGAATCCTCTCATTAGTCCTGCAGGCATGTGGTGAAGAAGAGGACACAGAAGCTCAGGGACAGCAGGTAACTTGTGATGTCACAGGCCGCTAAGAGATGCAAACCCAGGTCTGCCTTGGGGAAGCCGAGAGTATACACAAATGACAGAGTACGGGGATCTGTGATAATTACGCTAAAAACCAAGTGTTACGGGGAAAGAGACAGGATAACTCACGTGTGCACCGTGGGATCCCAACAGATTGTTCTGTACAATTTTGGCCGTGTACTGTTCTAACTCTTCCTGAATCTCAAAGGCAGTAGGATCAGCGTTTTCTTCTAGAAACTGAAAAACAAACAGAAAAACCATACTACCGAAGTAAAGCAAGCATATGATTGGCCGCATTACGGGGGCCAGCCAATCCCAGGGTGGGAGGGTTTCGTTTGAGGGAAGAGAAGGAAACCTCATGCTGTGCTGCATTTTCAAAACAGTGCAGCAACACTGCTGTTAAAAAAGAAAAATCAAAAACATCTTGCTTCCAACAATGGCGAGCTAAGTTATTCAGACCAAACCTAAAGCTGCAACGAACCAAGATAGGGTAAAATGCTAAAAAATATTTAAAGCTCCGAAAAGCGGACAGGACAGTGAGGAACAGGCAGACGGAACTGAAGGGGAGCCAGGAAGCTAGGAGGTCAAACAGCATGGGGGCCCCGTTTGCTCTGACGCGGGGCTGCAGCATGGCACAGCTCCTGGGCAGCCCACGGTGTAGTTATGTGCCCCTGCCGAAGGCACTGCGACTTCCATGATGCTCGCTGGAGCTGCACAACATGGCAGTCCCAACTTTGGGTGCATTCTCCAACTCGCTCATTTTGAACTTTTCATTTCGAAGACCTCAAATGATAAAGGAGACAGAAATCAGAGCCCAGAGTTAGTTCAAGGACAGAACTCTACCAGGACACCTATCCATCCCACAAACACAGGAAGCTGGGAACTCAGAGGAATTACACCCTTAGGAACCAGACTGGGCCTGACAGAACTGCAGCCTGGATTCCAAATGCCCAGGCAGCCTAGGGAGCCCTCAGCTTTGAACCAGGCCTACAATGGTTCCAGGCCACCACGTACATGGCAGGAAAAACAGGAATCCTCTCTGGAGAAAGGCAGTATCATCCTAGGCCTCAAATTGGTCCTACTGAGAATTTTATAAGTACAATGGTTAAAAAAAACCCTAAACACCAGTCAAAAATAAACACACAAGGACAGGGGAAAGAGACAGGGTTTCTGGGGACAATATCTTGACAATGAAGGTGACCATATGGGTGACAGTTACTTTGTAACTATTTGTTAGACTATGGGATTCATACACTTCTGTATATATTTTACAAAAAAAAAAAATTTAAGGTGGTAAGCATCAGGAATTTTATGCCAACAAATCTGAAACTTTACATGAAATGGACCAGAAAAATACCAAGAAAAATAGGATTTACTCTGAGTAAAGTTTTAAGAAGATCCTCCTCTCCCTCTCTCTCGGACAAATTTGACTTTGGGTTCATTTTTTGGCTCTGTTCCCTGGAAACCACATATGCTTACATGTCCATACCAAACTTCTAATTCCAGTCCAACACCATAGGATTAATTCTGGATCTTTTCTCTTTCATGTATTTGTAACTCCCTTCTCTAATAGTGTGAAATCTGGCCTGCTTTATCCTTAAAATATGTACGTATTGGATCAATCCCCCTCCCTGTATGTAACCCCTCTCCCATCACTGCTGCCCACCCCTCCCATGCACGGATCCCTCTCACTCAACTTGGGGTCACACCCCACTCTAGGCCACCCTCCTTGTGGAACCCCTCCTCATCCTATTTGGATGCTCACATCCCTCACTGGGCCATCCAGCATGGGCACTTTCTCACTTGACTTGGGCACTCAACCCCTATGCTGAGCTCTTATCCCTAAATGAACACCTTCCTCACCCTTTATGAGCTCTGATATTCCATGCTGGGCTGCCCACACATGCAGCAATGTTTTCCTCTTGCATGCTTGTCTCCTCTTGCTTGGGCTCTGACAACCCACCTAAGGCTACACCTCTGTGTAGAATCCTATCTGCTCTGTCCACCTAATGTCTTTAAGACTAAATTATTCAGGAAAGGGAAGTCGAAAGGAAAGGTGAAAGGTTCCCCTCATGACAAGAAACAAGACAAGGATGCCCACTACCTCTTCAACACAGTAAAGTAGATCCTAGCCACCAAAATAAGGTAAAAGAAAACATATTTAAGGGTTGGAAAGAAACAAAACTGCGATTATTCACAGATGATAAGACTGTGTTGAAAATCAACAAGAATCTACAGGTAAAGCATTAGAATTAATGATACTTTTGCTAGGTTGTTGCAGACAAAAATCAATACACAAAAACCACTAATATTTTGATCTACAAACAGAAAATGAATTTTACATAAGATACTTAATACTAGCACCAGAAAATCTGAAGGAATTTTGTATCGCAAAGAGAAAAATGTCTCTATGATAGATCTGGTGGTCCCCATCTTATCCAAGGGATCAAACTCAGCATTACCAATAATAAAACCACCTGGCAGCATGTGCCTCCTGAAACAACACGGTACAATGTCCCTCACATGGTACAGGCTGTATTCCTACCAAAATGTGAATCTAGTGAGGAAATAATCAGACAAAAACCGAATGTGAGAAGTCCTACAAGACAACTGGCTTTGAGTCTTCAAAAAATGTCAATACCATGAAAAACAATTTTCTGCACTAAAACAGACAAAAGAAATGTAACTATCCAAAGCAAGGCATAAGCCTCCACTGGCTCCCAGGTCCAGAAAAAACCTCACTGATAGGTAAAATGGTACTTCAATGTTGTTTTCGCTAACATTTCTTCAATTTCTCTTAGGGCTACAGGTTTTCACACCTAGCTATTGGTATGTAGTTGTAAGACGTAAAGATCAAACATTCTGGTGACTCTTAGGATGACAAGTCTAGGGACAACACACAAACAGGTCTGTTCCTACTGCTTTGGCTCGCCTGATTTCCATGACAGCCACCACCCACCTACCCTGTTCAGAATTCTCTCAAGCTCGTAGACTGCTTGTAGGGCACCCACTTCCAGAACTCGCAGCTGGCAGACTAAGAGGTGAATCACAGCCCGGGGGCAGGTCAGCATGTGACAGTTTAAACAGGAGCCCCGAAGCAGCAGGTAGAGTTTCTGAAGAGAGGGAAGAAAAAGCAGGATAATTAGAAAGAGACATAATAATCAAGGTAATTTTCAACATATTTAAGATTTTTGTTTTTATGTAGCCAGTTTATTCATTTGAGAATTCCACTTCTGGGGCACCTGGGTGGCTCAGTCGGTTAAATGTCCAACACTTGATTTTGGCTCAACTTATGACCTCAGGGTCATGGGATCCAGCCCCACGTAGGGCTCCGCGCTCGGCGGGGAGCCTGCTCAAGATTCTCTTCCTTTCTCTCTGCCCCTCTCCTGGCTCACGTGTGTGCACATACTTTTTCTAAATAAATAAAATCTTAAAAAAAAAAATTCCACTTCCCCTGATAGACCTGGAAAGGCCTCTGTGACCCTATGAACTAGATAAATATTCCTGTATATTTCTTCTTATCGTTTCATTTTAATCCCTTAAAAGTTGAAATTTACTCTGGGTCTGAGGTAGGGAGCTACTTTCATTTTATTTAACTAAGTATCAGATACTAATTTTAGTATTTAAATACTTCATTTAAAATATTTAATATTTAAGGGGCACTTGGCTGGCTCAGTCAGTGGAGCATGCGACTCTTGATCTGGGGGTTGTGAGTTCCAGGCCCATGTTTGGTGTAAAGATTACTTAAAAATAAAATCTTTAAATAGATAAATGAAACATTAAATATTCAAAATATTTAGTATTTAAATATACACCAAACTTAAGTTTAGTTAAATATTTGGTATTTAACTAAATACCGTATTTAACTAAGACAATTCTTTTCTCAATACGATTAACAGAAAAAAAATCACAAATACTGTCATCTGTAGAGTTTTAGAACAAATCCTGGAGGCTAGGTTAACTAATAGAAAAAGCTGAAAATACACAAGTAGGACTCTAAACAGAAGCCTCATACTTAGCTCACTGTCTGGCCTTCTGGGCTTTGCTCTTCTTGCAACCAAGCAAAAGCCTACAAATTCATTAGAAGAGCTCAGGGAAGGCTTGGAGAACTCCAGAAGTCCTATTGTCAGGGAGGCTTTGCCCAGATTTCTGAAGGACATGAAGGCCCTGAAATCTCAGGTGTAGGGGATGAATTCCAATGCTTTTTCCCTTGTGAACAGAACCAAGCTGGGTTCTTCTCAACTGGAATCAAACTGAAATTCATTTAGTTAGGGCTATAGGGCCAGTTGGATTTACTGGATTTGGCTCCTCAAGGTTTTAAATCTCATGGTAGAGAGCACTTTAACTCTGTGGCTAGAGCTAACTTCCTTGGACACCTCTCGTGAGGCCAGGGGTGGCACTCACAAATGCCACCAGCAGCCCCGAACCCCACACAGACAGAGCAGCCCAGGGCAGAACGTACATCAAAGAGGAGAGGGTTGTACACCGTGAGCGGAAGCTCAATGTGGCCCAGGTGGCCAGAGCAGTTGTTGAAGTCCTGCACGCAGGTGGAGCACACCTCTTTGGAATCCGCAGGGCCCAAAGCTAAATCGTACAGGCCGTTCACCGACGGGTTCCCCAGGCTGTCCAGGTAACGAGGGTTTGTAATGGACTTAACACTTAATTTCCTAAGGAGATAAAAGAAAGACCAAGGGAAAACTAAGGTTACCCAACTTCTCGGATGTTTCTTCTTTGGTGCTTCGGGGTTAAATGATGATTTCATGTTTGTTTCCTCAGACATGCTGACAGCTTCAGAGTGTAGAATCTGTGTATGCCTTGCTCACCACTGCAGCTCAACACTTAGAGCCTGCATACAACAGCTGCTGGATAAATATATGCTTAACAGATAAGAGTGGTAAAATATTTAAATACAGATTTAGTGCAAATCTTGCATTGAGTACAGTGGAGACTGCTTACAAATAAGTTAAGTACCTACACATGCTACATGCTTTACAAGCAGCATTTAGTCTGACTTCAACCCTCCGAGAGGGGCATCACTATATGTATTTTCCCGAGGAGGAAACTGAGGGTCAGAACAGTTAGGTGATTTAATCCAGGTAAAACAGCCAGGATGGGGGGAGGACAGAGGCAGGACATGGACCACACTTAACTCCAAAGCCCACATAGTTCAATAAAGAAAAGATAACCCAATAATCCCTGCGTGCAGAAGTAGTAAATTGAAGTTAAACATAAATATGCAAAACTTTGAGAAGTGTAACCTGTTTCACTGTTTCATCCCAATATTTTATGTTTGGTTTAAAGGAGGCTTCCATAGGACACCTAACTACTTTTACCAAAGTACATTCATGCCAAATGTGCTTTTTAAATTGTTTTTTACTTTGGAAATAGAGACAATTATCCAAATCTCACAACCTAGAAAAAAAAACTGGTAACATTCATAGACATATCTCTTTGGATATATTTTTAGAAACATAGCTGGGATCATTTGGTATTTCTAGCATCGCATTTGTCTATTTTCACTTAGCGTTAAATGAGTGTTTTTATGTCCCTAAAATTCTTCAGAAACATAGTCCTTAAGAGTTATAAAACCTTTCATTATGTGGCAATTAGTAATTCATTTAACCAAACTCTATTTTAAATAAGCTTATGAAACCTATTTGCATAAAGATTTTTGCACAGGATACTTCAAACTTTTAACTATGTCCTAAAAATATAATTATTTCCTCAGTGGAGTGGAATCCCTGAACAATGGGTGCAAAATGTTTGAAACTCCTGATATATTCTACTACCTTCTATTCTAGAAAAGGTGCGCTAATAGTGATTGCCTGTCTTCACTAGCACTGAATCTTAGCACTTAAAAATCTTTCCAGGGGCTCCTGGCTGGCTCAGTCAGTAGAGCAGGCGACTCCTGATCTCAGGGCCGTGAGTTTGAGCCCCACGTTGGGCATGGAGCCTACTTAAAAAGAAAAAAAAATTGTTTAAAAAAAAATCTTTCCAAATTTCAGGTGGACAAATGCTACTCCATTCTCACATTAATTTTTTTATTATATTTTTTCAAGTTGTTTTAGTCCTTTACTTATTTTGAATTGAAATCTTAATGTTTTCATTACTGTACTACATGAGCTCCTCACACATGAGGACATTAATCTTTTACTATAATGGTGGCAAATACTTTTCCCAGTTTATAATTTGGCTTTTGTTATTTTTCACATTAAAGGTTTAAAAATTCTTTAACAGCTCCGTTGAGATATAACCCACATATTACACAATTCATCCTTTTAAAGTGTACACTCAATGGTTTTTAGCATATCTAGAGTTGTACAATTATCACCAGTCTATTTAGAGTATTTTCATCCCCACTAAGAGAAACCTTGTACTCATTAGATGTCACTCTCTTTGTCACAGAAATAAAAGAACCTGAAAACAGTAAGGTCCTGCAAATAAACAGTTCCGAGGGTGTGGTCAAGACTACCAAATGCTATGGTGATCAAAATGAGGATTTAAGAGAGTCCCCTTGATTTAGTTAACTAGGCAAAGAATACAGAGGGTCCTAGCAAAGAGAAAGTCGTCGCTTTCAGTGAGTCTTGAAGGATAACCATTTTGACTATGTGTTTAATTAATCACATCAGAGACGTTACAACTCCACAAACGCTGGTTAATTACCAAAGAAACTGATGGAAGCTAAAGTTGCAACCTGGGAACCTCCTCCCCAACGCAAATTCTAATCTTGCCCCCCTGGGTTCTAGGCAGTGGCACGCCAACTCAAGACGTTTCTGGAACTACGGGTCCCAACAGGCCACGCGCCAGACAACCACTGACTCAGAAGATAAATTGAGCGCAAGACCTTTTGGGAACCGTAGTTTACGGCGCCGACCTCAACACGCAGGCTCTGCATGCTTCCCACCAACTCCTTACTTGAGTTCTTCGGCCGAATACATCCCGAAGGAAATGCCCTGCAGCCTCCGCCAGGGCATGTTCTTTGAGCCCAACATCCTCCAGATAAGTTTCGAGTTCTGACACCCAGAAAGAGGTTCCAATCACCACCAGCAACTTAACTCAGCCTCAAGCAGGCAGCCACCATGTGATTTAAAATGCGCTTGCGCACTAGGAAAGCTCGCTGGTTTGAGATTTACGTGGACGAGACCACTTCCACTGCAGGGGGGGGAAAAGTAATTTGATGACTTTCGCTCAAGACATATAAGTCACTAAAATAATAGTTTCGGAAAATTTCTCCGAGAAAAACGGGGCGTTTTGAGCCTTTAGCTTCCGTAACAGTCTTTCAAACCACGAGCTTTTTCAACCTAATTCTTGATCGCTTTTGTCTTGTTCCGTCTCAGCCAGTAGCCGAGCTATTCCCCGCCCTCCCTCTTGGTGATCCTGAAGGTCGAGGTCACGCTTTCCCAGCATGCTACGCGAAGAAGCCAAAGATGGCGGCGATCGCGACGCGTCGTTGGCTCCGGTTCCGCTGCAAGCTTTGCCTGACCCTAACGGGTCAGCGGGCAGGTCCGTGTGGACAGACCCCCAGTTGCAGGTAAGACACGCATGGAGAATCCAAGAGAAAGACCCCCTGGCCAACTTCGTCCTCTGTGTCAGCTTTTCTTTGAGAACCGGGGAGCTAGGTACAATGGAGTGGGATGCGCATGCGCAATTTCGCGGCCGCGTGGTTAGCTCGGCACGCGGAGCTGGAGTCCTGGAAAAAGGGCTTGAGACTCATGTGTTAGAGCGTTATTTATTGGGTGGTTGGCTTATCCTAGAATTAAGAACTGTCGGCAAGATTAGGATCCTGCTGTCGTGGAAATTGCGTTTTAGTGTGGCTAGTAGCAACCCCGTCCCAAGTTTTAAAAATAGAAAAGTATGCGCCCTCATTCATTTTTATCAAACGGGGATCTCTGAAGATTTTCCCAAATTAAAGGCAGTTCATGAGCGCCACTGTGTGCTGGATGTTGTGGGGATGGTTGGCCAAAGGAATTATCCAGGTTTTCATAAAAACAAGGAAGTCTAAAAGACTTGAGCACAGCCTTTGGATTGCTGTGATTGTCACACCTGAGAGTATGTATTTAATTTTTTTTCACTAATCACAAACAATGATGGTGTGGAAATAGAGTCTGTAATTTGTAATGAAAAGTTGGGAAAACCCCAATTTTGGATTCGATGTTTGTGCCATTTTTTTAGTTGATTAATAGACAGATTCTCTCTTTTGTAGACTGCAGCTAGTAATAACCATCCAAAAAATGGTGAGGAATAAGTGAGCTGTGTAACTTCAGATATACGTCTTATATGCAATACCTTCATGCAACTTCTCAAAAAAGGAGAAAATGCTCCACCTGGTACTGTAGAAGCCTTAATGCTGCTGTCTGTCCCAGTCCTTTTCCTGGTAGTGCCACTGTTGACATTTTTCTATTCATTTCCTTTGCCTGACAGCAGCATCTCTCCCTCTGCATTTACCCACAGGACAACAGTGGTCATTATATCATAATGTCAGGAGAGACAAATAGTGTGATTTGAAAGAGTTGATCCCTCTCTGAAATTGATCCTTAGCAGAAAAGTATCGTTTTCAAATGATGCTTGAGACCAGATACCAGTAGAGGAAGTATTTACTATCTAATCACGTTCTGGCAATTTTAGGAATGGTACCAATGCCATGTAGGAAAGGAATACACAAGATAATAGTGTACGTGACTGTGTGATATTTTGACTGTATTTCGTAGCGTTACCAGAACATTTTAAAACTCAGTCATGAGTCAGTGATTCTATATTTTGGATAAAAAGTAATATCGGCAGTTTCAAGTTTAAATCAGGATGTACATATCTGGCAAATTCCTTATTGTTGAATGAAGTGGGATGAAAGCCCACGATGATCTTAGCTTAATAATTTATCATAATTGCTTTAAGTGGGATACTCTTATCATCATTAGGGTGTTATTCATATAAAATCAGGAGCTCATTAAATCGTCCCTCTTGACCTCAGTATTTTAGATTACCAAAGTTGAAAGTCCCTTATATTTCAAATCAGCTACTTCAATGGTTCAAGTGCTATTGAAATTTTTTCCCTGATTTTATTTAATGAGATTGATTAAAAAATGTCGACCATATTGTGTCCGTATCTTGTACCTATTTTGTAATGGTTTTGAACTTACTGTTTAGGCCATGTCTTCTCAGTATACATTGATATGAATCATTCAGTTACTTTGATCCATGACAATTGGAAAATTTGGGTTCAAAATGCACATAGGTGGAGGTGAGATGGAAACCTCAATAATGAGTGTTACTTTAGGGCTTTTATTTTTTGCAGATTTTATTCTGGAAGTGCAACTGTCCCAAAGGTTGAAGGAGCTCACATAACAGGTATATAAAAATATATTGAAATAATTTCGTTTCTGTGTTAACAGATTGCACTTATTTGTAGTAGTAGTAGTATTGGGAAACCAATTTACTTTTGTTTTATTTTTCAAATTAAGGGATTGAAGAAGTGGTCATTCCGAAAAAGAAAACTTGGTGAGTATTCAGTGTTCATTCAAGTGACTGAGTGCAAAACATTTGTAGGTAAGGAGGCAATGACATGAAGAAAAGTAGAGAGCATTCCTTGAGACAAAACAGCTGATGGGAGAAAAACTTGGGAGTTGAAAAAGAACATAAAGAGGAAGGTGGAGAGTAGTGAGTGAATGGGGCATGAGATTTACATAGATCTTCTGAACTGAGTTTTGGTTAATAGTTAAATAATAATGATTAATTATGAACATCACTATTAGAATAACTTTTTTTCTTTCGTTTAAGAGAGTTCTTAGAAGGTGAGAGACCAGACAGAAGTGTTATCCGTACAGTCTTTAATAAAGTAAAATAATATAGTGTGGACAGAGTTTAGCCTTTTTTAGCTAACTAGGTAGATCTTTGAATAAATTGCCTTATTCAACATTTGTTGAATATGTGAGAACTGAAACTTCACAGAATTCTTATAGTAATGATTTTGAATGCATTTTATGACCCTCAAAAAGCCAGGTCTTCTCTAAGTAGGACCTGAAGACTCAAGTTCATTTAAAAAAAAGAAAAAACTTTATTAAATTACAGAAGTAATTAACTATTGGGGGGGTGGGCTAAATGCAAGAAGGAAATAAAATTACCAGCAATCACTACTCAGGCAGGTTACTTAACCTATCTATCCCATAGTAAAACATAGGTAACGACAGCACCAGGCTCAAAGGAGTGTAGCCTCATTTGCTAACGTTGTCTGTGGCTACCTTTATGCTATACTGATAACATACAACAGAGTCCCTGTGACCTATAAAGTAAAAAATACTATTTGTTTCCTTACAGAGAAAGTGATGATTTCTGTGCTCAGGAATTTAGGCTTTTAGACCTGGAAGAAGCCATAAGGACTACAAATTCTTGTTGCCTTATTTTAGATAGGCATCACCTTTTAAGAGTGTGATTTCCTAGATCACTCAGGTAACATAGAAGACTTAAATTATACAGGGTCATTGTGAGTTTTCATAAATGAATGTGATATGATAAAGGCAGTGTTGTGAACAGGTTAATTTGAATTGTATAGTGATTTTAGGGATGATTCAGGAAGTCCAGAGTGCATCTTCTGATTTATTCTCATATATAGCTGAGTTAAGAGCCACCACTTTAGATAAAAGAAGCAAGAGTAGCCCAGAAAGTGCAGTAAGAATGCATAGGAAAATGGGGCCCCTGAGTTTGAGCCCCACATGGGTATAGAGATTATTTAAAAATAAAATCTTGGGCGCCTGGGTGGCTCAGTCGGTTAAGCGACTGCCTTCGGCTCAGGTCATGATCCTGGAGTCCCGGGATCGAGTCCCGCATTGGGCTCCCTGCTCAGCGGGGAGTCTGCTTCTCCCTCTGACCCTCCTCCCTCTCGTGCTCTCTGTCTCTCATTCTCTCTCGCAAATAAATAAATAAAATCTTTAAAAAATAAAAAAATAAAATCTTAAAAAAAGAATGCGTGGGAAAATGGATAGGACGAGGTAAGATTCAGGGTAGATGGTTTTATGAGCTAGGAGTGCAAATCGCTCGCCCTTTGGAGATGGTATGATGGACAATGCCAGAGAGGGTAGGCAAAGTATAGTAGGAACATGTACTTACCACCTTTAAGCAAAAGAACAGGACAGTTCTCTCATTTTCTCGTTTGTTTTTCTAGTGATCTTGAGAAATAAGAACTGGCTTTAAGTGAGACCTGAACTTTTTATTGGCCAATCCATACTGAGAGTGGAATCACTTGTTCGTTTTGTGGGTATGGAAATCCCTGACATGGGTCAACTTGTGGTTCTTGTTCTTAGGGATAAAGTGGCTGTTCTTCAAGCACTTGCATCCACAGTGAATAGGGTAAGTAGGAATTTTAGGTTTTTGTTGTGGGTCTTGAAAGTTTCTTAGAAATGATCTAATCCAGTCCCTTCATGTGACAAATGGGGAAACTAAGCTTTTAAAGGAACTGGCTCTGAAAGTCCTTGACTTAGGTCCAAGTCTTATCTTCAAAATCTTTTTTTTTTTTTGGCTAGGGTGTGATATTGTAATGCAGGTGATCTGTAGACCAACTTTGAGAAGTACTGTATCTACCATGCTATAAATTATGCAAGAATGTGGGTCCTGGAGCCAGTGTTTCGTTTCATAGCTGAGCAACTAGCTTTGTGATCTGCATCAAAAAGTTATTTTATCTCTTGACGTTTCTATGTGTTTATCTATAAAGTGGGGATTAATTATAGCATCAGACTTCAAGGTTATAGTGAGAATTAGTATATAATTGAGGGATTTAGGGCAGTGCCTAGCACAAAAGAAATGCTCCTTAAATGCTGGCTATTTTATTATTACTGCAACCATTTTAGTGAGATATTTGTCAATACCTTGCTCTGTTGACAATTCAAAAACAGTTTGTAGTCTGATAGATAAACTGAAACCTTGGTAAATGCCTCAGAAATGGAACTTTTTTTTTCTTTTAAGTAATCTCAGCACCCAGCGTGAGGCTCACACTCACAACCCTGAGATCAGGAGTCGCATGCTCTACTGACTGAGCCAGCCAGGTGCCCCGGAAATGGAACTTTCTGACTGATTATATTTTTCGTTCTATGTAAACTATACTTTTAATTTCAACTATGGGGATAATGTCTAAGATAATGAAGACAACTGCTGCAATATCTGCATGGATACTAAGCCTCTTTAAGGCCGTTGTCACAGATTTACAGAGTTGTTTTCTATTGTAGATGTTAAACTTAAGGAGTCTTGGGCCAAATATACCCCGATACATCCTAACAGTTTCTCAGAAGGGGTTTTTATAATCATCTCCATGCTAGCAAGACATTGAGATTTTCAGCAGTTCACTTATCTCTAAATAGGCACCTGCAATGTAAACTGGAGTAATGGTCCTCTGAGACTGATCTCAGTTTTTTAATGAGAATGGCCTTCAAATCAAAGAAGTTGTAGAATTATGTGTGCAGTTGTCTGATTTGTCTAGGTTTGGGCCCTTAAAATCCAAGGTATAGTCACTTATTCATTCAGTAACCATATATTCTACACTTCTGATGCTTACCAGGCACTGTGCGGGATGTAGAATAAACTCAGCCCTTGCACAGTTCCTAGAGAGGGAGCAGGAGGGAGCACTGAGAAGAGGGTACGGAACCCAGACTGGGGAAGGACTTCCAGAGGAGCTGATAATTGGATTGCTGCTAGGAAGGTGAGCAGCAAGGATACTGTGGTGGGAAAGAGCATTCCTAGCAAAGGCAGCACCGTGCGCAGAGGCACAAAGGCCCAGAATGCATAGTTGGTATGGTAGGAATGAAGGATTTGAAGGGTGGAGAAATGAGAAATAGGCAAGATGATGAATGCTATGCTGGGGACTCAAGTCCTCTGAAGAGTTTTAAGCAGTGGTATAATAACCAGATTTTAGAAAAGACAGCCCTGTGGAGATGGGAAACCTTTCAACTTTAATGTAGCATAAAGATCCTAAAACTAGCATGTCCAGACCCAAAGCTTTGCTATCTCCTCAACAGCAGCTCCATTATTCTGATTGCTTGAGTCAAAACCCTAGGAGTTACCTGTGACTCATCTTTCTCTTATGCTGCACGTTAGTAAATCCTTTGTTTCTTCCTTCAAGGTACATGTGCATGGAGTCCCAAGACCACTCCCTGGTTCAGTGATTGGCTAGGAGGACTCCCAGGACTCAGCATACAGTCCTACAGCTATGATTTATTATAGAAAAAGGATACAAAGCAAAGTCGACTAAGGGAAAAGGCACATGGGGTGAAATCCAGAAGAAACCAGGTGCAAGTTTCCAAGAGTCCTTTCCCAGTGGAGTCACAAAGGACACGTTTAATTCCTCTAGCCGAGTTGTGACAGCACGTGTGAAACATCTGCCACAAAAGCTCATTAGAAACTCAGGGCCCAGAGGTTTTTTGGTGTCTGGCCACATAGGCACCCTGTGCCTGGCACATATCAGAATTCCAGACTTTCAGAAGGAAGGCAGGAGTTCACTGTAAGCCACATTTGCACAAACAGTTTAGGCACAGTGAGCCAGTCTCCTCAGTACTGGGGATGGTGGGAACCCTCCCAAATCCAGGTTTCCAGGTGCCAGCCAAGGGCCAGCCTTGCAAGCAGACCTTTCTAAGGACAGCAGTCACGGGCCTGGTAACTCTTTCTACACATTATCAGATTTTAAATTCTTGTCATCACCGTGACGGCTTTAGTCATCTAAGTCATCGTCATCATCTCTTACTGCCCTGGACTGATCACAGCTCTCTCTTCCACTGCCCAAGCTCCCCACAGACTGCTCGCAGTTAGGCAGCCCTAATGATCCCAGTAAAATATTGGATCACATCACTCCTTCCGGAGAACTCAAGTGGCCTCTCATTTGTCATAATTGGGGTAAAAACTGAAGTCCGTATGAGGGCTCCTAAGACCCTCCCATGATCCTCCCCATCCCCACATTACCTCTCTGACAGCGTCTCTTGCTGTCTTCCCGGGCACCCTACCCGAGCCTGGCTAATTCTGTTTCCCAGCAGGCACGCCTCTGTCTCAGGGTCTAGGGTTTGCTGTTCCTTCTGCCTGGACTGTTTCCCCTGAGATACTCACATTACTTGCTCCCTCACCTGCTTAGCTCCTTGCCTCAGTGTCACTCTTACAGTGAGGCCTTCCCTGACCATCCCACTTAGGTTGTAGATCTGCTACTTTCTTGTCCCTTTTTCTACTTCATTTTTCTGCATAGCAGTTAACTGTTTTTAATTTAACTATATATTGTTTATTTTTATTTTCTGTAGGTCCCCCCCCCACTAGACTGTAAGCTCTATTGGGGTGGGGGGTGATCTTATTGTCTCCCTTATAGCTAGAAAAATGCCTGGCACAAAGGTGCTTTATAAATAATGAATAGGAAGGCACTGAACTATGGCCATGGCAGTTGGGATAAGGGATAGTGGAGTCGGTAGGGGAAGTTAAGGAGCTAGCGATGGTTGGGTCTGATGATAGCTCAGTTGAATGGAAGTAGTGGGACAGGATCTACAGGTTGGACTGCAGAGTGGTCAGTACCATTCACTGAGAGAAGGCAGGACAGGTAGTAGCTTCAGGAAAGTTCACTTTGGGGATCCGTTTGGTTCGAGGCATCTGAGCTCCGGGGCCAGAGTGGAGTTGTTCCACACAGACTGTGGAGGACTTGGAAATCATGGAGGGAGGGAAAATGGGAGATAAATAGGAAGAATAAGTCTAGTAAGTTACAAGAAGTCCAGCATGTCACCAAAACTAGAGGCCCTAAACAGGTGTCTAACAAGGGTGGTGCAGAGGATCAGAACCAGAGCCAGGCACTAGTTTGTAATCAAGGAATGAGTAGTCCGGGGCAACTAACCTAGAACTGCCACCTCTGGTTTACCATTACATGACTGCCTCATTTAGTAGAGTGACATGACTGGATGAAATGAGCCTCCCATGACTATGAAGGATATGGGTTTTGAAAGTAGCAGCAGGAGGCTGAGACCCCCCCCCCCCAAAAAAATCCTACCTCCAGGCCTTAGGTATGAGCAGCCTTCCCTTGAGAGTTGCAGGGAAGCTGTCCCTTGGAGAGTCCAAGTGAGTAAGACATGGCATGAAGGGGACAGTCAGGAGAGATTCTGGATATAGGGTGAGTTTTTCCTATGGAACAAAGGTCCCAGAAGGCCCAGGAAAGGCGGTTCCAAGGGAGAAGAGAGGAATAGAGGAAGTAATTGGGGGGCAGGTTTTCAGTGGTACTGAAGAGTTTTGTTCAGGGTTCTCCTCTTAGAACAATGTGAAAAAGTGTATAGAACCTCCGGCAACAGGACGCAGGAGCAGCTGCTGTTTGCTCCTTCCCAGAGGGCACAAGCGTATCCTCCGTTTGGAGGAGGGATTCTTGGGTGGGTAGTGGCCAGGCTTTGAAGGAATGCAGGACACTGGTGCCCATACTAGTTAATTCAGAGGATCTTTCGTTTAAAACATCAGTAGTTCCTGGTAGCACCCTCAGATCTAAAGAAGCAGTCATGGGGGTTTGAGCCATTGTTTGCTTGGTGTGTAATGACAGAGCTGAGAGTGGGGTATCGGTATTGGTGTTTCTTTCAGTATACATACCTTTCTGTATGTGTTACATATGTAATTAAAACTTACCTCACAGAGCTTTTGGTCATCAAAACTCAAGATCTTAGTGAAAATCTAACTAAAGAGATTTCTGTGTCTTCATAGGACATCACAGCTGCCCCTTACGCATTTCAGGATGACCCTTACCTCATACCAACATCCTCTGTGGAATCTGTGAGTGTTCTCCTGGAGTTGTTTTTTTTTTTTTTTTTAAGATTTTATTTGTTTATTTGAGAGAGAGAGTGAGAGAGAGAAAGAGCACAAGAGGGGGGAGCGGGAGAGGGAGAAGCAGACTCCCCGCCAAGCAGGGAGCCCGATGCGGGACTCGATCCCGGGACTCCAGGATCATGACCTGAGCCGAAGGCAGTCGCTTAACCAACTGAGCCACCCAGGCGCCCCTCCTGGAGTTTTTCTAGCGTTATATTTTATCTTGCTTGTTTGGGTGCAAACACGGATATAGAATTTAGCTTCGGTGTAAAAACCTTTGAAAAGGTAACAGTTTCAAAGCTTTAGAGATTGGCTGTGGAAGGGATTTGGGATTTAATACGTAGGGCTCTGACACTGGAGCAGTCCACTCGGTTTCAGTGCACTGGTTTTATGTACCCCAAGCTGTATATAAGATGTGACCTAAAATGTTACACTCAGTAGCAGAGGCGGATATATAACATGTGTAATTTAACTTCTAATTGGTTTTCTATGTATTGTTGCATTCTTTGAGGGGGAGGCTTGCTGAGGGTATAATTTTCATCTCTTGAGTCAGTTTAAATCTTTTTCTTTATGTAGCGTTCATTTTTATTGGCGAAGAAGTCTGGGGAGAATGCAGCAAAGTTTATTATTAATTCCCATCCGAAGTATTTTCAGAAGGACATAGCTGAACCTCATATACCGGTAAGGAGAGATGATAGTGATTTTTCGGGTATTACTACGTAAATGTAAATTAAACCACGTTTTCATGGCTAATATTTCAGTAGCCACTTGAATGTTCTCAGTATTGGGTGAAGTCTTTTGATGTGTATAGTTATCTTTGCTTACACTAGTAACTTTTTTTTTCTTTTTTTTTTTTTTTTAACTCCTGTCTGTATTTGCTCCTCATCCTGTTTTCCCTATTTGGCTTCTGTGACACCAGAATCTTAGGTCTTTACCTCTGTGACTGTTCTTTTCAGTTTTCTTCAGTAGCTTTTCTCTCCACCCCTTGAATGTGGAGGTCTTGGCCCAGATCCCTCTACTGTGATAGTCCAGTGTCCTCGTTTCTCTTTAGAGTGTGTCACCCTTTCTGCCTTTTGCTTTGAACTCCAAATTGTATTTCCAACTACCTCTGCGTCCTGTAGTCATGAAGCATGAATGTCGTGCGCACGCGGCGTGTCAGCCATCGCACTCGGCGCCGGTGTTACGGGGGTCAGCGGAACAGAGGCACCTCTGCCCTCCGGGGTTTATTAGTGGAGATAGTAACCTCAGGCTCGTGTCCCAGACTCCTTTCTTCCTGAAAGGCATGCACCCAGGCACAGCCTCCTCAAGCAGCAGCTCTCAGTGACAAAGTAGGAGGTCATTGTGATTGTGCAGGTGACAGTGCCCGAGTCCCATGTGGGGACAGTGGCAGTGATAGCCCACCCGAGCCCTTGGATGTTTCTGATTAGCAGTTACTCTTCCGTGCTAATGAGCTCACTTCTGCTTGACGCCTTCCATGGGTCCCTGCCTCCCTGGCAGACAGCACTGTCACACCTTCCAGATCTCTCGTCGTTTACATTCACGCTGTGCTGTGATTCTTTCCTTCCTTGCTCTCTCCGTTAGATGCGGAGAACCCTGAAGGTAGAGAAGGACTTTGATCTGTGCCTCCAATGCCTCGCTTCGTGCCTGGCAGAAAATGGCATTCAATAAGTATCGAAATAAACTAGTGAGTGAGGTGAAATCAGCCTACCTTGGTGATGGTCAATGTTTTTAGAGTAAAAGAAGCATCAGGGCTGAAAGGGTTCTCCCTGTGCAAACCAGGTATCCTCTTGACACTTTGAAACAAGATTGGAAGGAAAGGAGAAAGGATAGTTTTCGGCAGGGGATGAGACAAGTTCAACTTGAGGGTGGGGAAGTTAGTTGGAAACCGGATTCTTTGGATATGAATTAAATATTTATTTATTTTGGGGTGCTTTTAAATTCTCCCTGAGCTAGGAGATAGTTAATTGATCTTGTTTTGGATCCTGGAGGGGTTCTTCGATTTTTTTTTTTTTTTCTTTTTTTTTTTCTAGTTCCTGCGGAGATGTACACGTGGTACCTGGTGCGTGAAACATGAATTGGGACAGTGAAGTTTTATTTTTGTGTGTTGGTGATAAAAGTTTAGTCCTGCTCCCTTTTACCTGTTTGTGGTAACTAGCCATTTTCTTTTCCTAGTGTTTAATGCCTGAGTACTTTGAACCTCAGATTGAAGATATAAGTGAAGCAGCCTTGAGGGAAAGAATCAAACTCAAAAAAGTCAAAGCTTCTGTGGACATGTTTGATCAACTTTTGCAAGCAGGTGACTCAGTTCATTTAAAGCACTCCTAAGAACGTGGGCTCGGAAGTGGGCTGTGGTTACGTGATCCTGCTGGTTGTGAGCAAAGGTTACAAGGATCTCTACTTGATGCGGTGTTCGTGCTTTTAACAGTTAATAATATTTCAAGTTGTGCTTCAGCTTTCAAAGTATAAGTGAAATAAGTGAGATGGAGTTGCAACTTAGTTTATTGTGCTCTTGGGCTGTATTGTGCAGCAGATAGAGAAATTATAGAGCCATTCTTCCTTGGCTTCCATTTTTAACGTTAGGTGTGTACATAACTGTATTCAGATTTCTTGTACTCTTTAAATATGTTTGGAGACATAGACAAGAGAGGAATATTTAAAAAGGAAAGAGCACTGAACTGGGATACTGATTCTAACTCTAACACTGATTAGCTCTGTGGCCTTGGGAAAAAAATCACTTAATTTCTCAGAATTTCTGTCTCTCATTCTCTGGCTCTCTGACTTTGATCTGGATGACCCTCTAGCAGAATAGGTCTAAACTGCATGGCTTGTCAACTGCCAGGGGACGAGTGTACCTGTAGTGACATCAAAGGCAGCAGGATTGTAAGTTAGTGGACTCCAGAGTGCTGTTCCGTGACTTAGGATAACAAGCAGTCAAACACAGAAGCGATAGGAACTGGACGGAATCACTCCGTGTATTCTCGAACACAAGAAACCTTTACAGAAAGTTGTATCTGATTGGAGAATTTTGGTGTGTTGTCTGCTGTGGCATTGGATATGCAGATGCATTGCTGACGCACGTTATAACTGAGAGAGGCTTTTGCCTCTGCTCATTGACTATGGTAAACGCTAAGACTGCATTCAAGCACGTCGTGCTCAGACCGGTCTTGCTCTAGTTTCATGCACTGTGCTGTAGGCGCACGCAGACATTCAGCGAGCGGTTCTAAAGACGGCGTGTCAGACCCGCAGCTCAGAGTCACAGAACAAGCCGATACGCTGTGGGGGGGTTGGAGGAAGTTTTACTGTCAAGCCCCTAATAAGTACCAATTTGCTTGACATTTCACTTACTTAATTTAATTCTATTATGTGCTGTGTTTTATAATCATTTTATAAAGGAAGCTGGTTATTAAGTAAGTTTCCAGGGATACACAGTTCTGGGATAGTAAGATCAGCCAGTCCAGTTTCCCTCCACAGCCTCTCTTCTCTCCACTCTGCCGTGCTCTTTTCTGAGATTTTAAATTTCCTGATTGGCATTTTTATTAGTATATTTTCTTTAGAAAAAATAATACTTCCTGTTCCCTTTTTTTCCCTAGTGTCAAGACGGGAACATAACGTTTTTGAGTATCACTTTTTTTTTTTTTAAGATTTTATTTATTAATTAGCACAAGCAGGGGTGTGGCAGGCAGAGGAAGAAGCAGGTTTCGCAGAGCAGGGGGAACCCGATGTGGGGCTTGATCCCAGGACCCCAGGATCATGACCTGAGCCGAAGGCAGCCAACTGAGCCACCCAGGCGCCGAGTATCACTTTTTTAAAAGCTACGATAATTAGACATTTATGCTAGTATTTCTAGGCAAGCGTTCCAGTGAGGGCCTGGATCCAAGTGGAATAGTTCTGCTTGCATTTGTTAAAAAATGGAACTGGGCCAGGGGAACTAAGTGGCAGTAATTTGCAGAGTGTTCAGTTTGGAAACAATAGTTAAAACCTTGAGATCGTTTCTCTGGGGACATGAGTATGTAAAATAAGTGAGCACAGGGTCAGGCATTGTCTTGTGCTTTAGTCCCTCCTGTCAGACCCCATGGTTAGTAGGGATTGTGTCCCTGTCTGCATTCCTCCAAGTTGATGTGGAGTGCGTACTCATCCATTCTTAGAATGGTTCATGACACTAAATACGAGCCAAGAAAGCCACAGTTTGTAGAAGAAGTGAAGAATTTTAATCCAGTGAGCTTCAGTTCTTTAATGTTTCAATGTTTCTTTCCCTTTTTTTCTCCTACCCACAGGAACCACCGTATCTTTGGAAACAAGTAATAGTCTCTTGGATTTGTTGTGTTACTATGGTGACAAGGAGCCCTCATCTGATTATCATTTTCAGAAAAGTGAAAAATCAGAAGAGTTGGTAATGGATTTTGGCAGTGATTTTTTTAAAATTTCTTTTGATAGCAATAACCATTTCAACATAAGGCGGGTTCTTACGCCATATGTTAGGGTAGTAGAGATTTGTTCTGAGACGTGATATGGTATAGTAGCTTTGATAAAAAGTGGTTTGGAGGAAGAAAGATTTAAAACAATTATTTTAATTCTGGTTTCCTTCTTAAAAATATTTTGACCTTGCCTACCACATGCAGGCAAAGCTTTGACCAGAAATGTTTAGGCAAATTCTTCTGTTGTTACTTACAGTAACCATATGATGTGTAAGGAACAGGGAAAGACTCCAGGGCCCCAGCCCCCCCCCCAAATGCATACGTAACATGGGCAGAGAGGAGTGACCACACTGCTGGGGGTGCAGAGCGGTACAGTGCCAAGGGCTGGCCTGTAGATAGGGAGTTCTATCTTAATTTCTCAACCCAAGAGTTTTATTTCTAGAAAAAGATCCCAAGGACATCTTTAGGTCATGTGAACAAAGATTATATACATCATTTTTATAATATTCATACGTGTAGTTACAAAAATGTGGAAAACTGGATGTCCAGTGGCATGTCATTGGATTATGGTAATGTGGTGATGGTGTAGTGTAGGTCTATTTGGCTGTGGAAAGATGCACCATATATTGATAAATGAGAAGATAGGCAGACAATATTTCATTTTTTTGAAATACTTTCATATGCATGAGGGAAAATGAAAAGTGCTTTTCCTTCCGTTTATGTCTAATTTTCCTCCACTAAATATGGAGTATTTACGTACAGAGTAATTAAGTCTTTTAAAATGTATAGGCATCTACGTTATTTCTGTGTGGATCAAGCTAGATAGAACCAGCTCAAGCCAGGCTGTGTTTGGATTTCCGGTTTCTGTCTCTGAGTGAGGCTATGCAGGGAACTGGCTTCATCTATCTACAGGCCATCAGTTCTCGTTTTAAGTGCTAGCTTTACTTTTCATCTCTCAGTGAGCTGATTTATGCTGAAAAAATTATCAGTTTTTTAAATGAACACTTGGTTCTTTTCTTCACCTTCTGTTGGATCTGTATTTTATTTTTCCGAAGTTTTCTTTGCCTTTCCGGGATTTTAAGTATTCTAAGTAGGAAAATGCATTGCATTGTTATTTTTTTGTTTTATTTCTGTTGATGGTTCATTTCAGGAGGAGGCCGCGGAGGAAAATGATGAGAAATCTAAGAAGGCTGATCAGCAGTTTGGAGTCACATGGAGGTATGTTAACACATCGTTAGAACCTTGTAGTATGGGTTTTTATGGCGCTTGGCATGTTCCCGAAGAGGTGCTCCTGAAGTTTTCTAAAATAGAATTTGTTTTTAGCATACAATACAAATGTGACCTTGGTATTCATATGCGTTTAGAGCTCGTTTCCATAGGATCTTTACTTCCAACCAGCAGTACAAGGTTGACACTTCATTCTTTGTAGCCCCCCCCCACCCCATTTCACTTCATGTCACCTTCACCTAATGTTGGTTTCTTGGGTAGTTTCATCAGTGCTACTCGCAATATGTACCTCCTGTTGTGAAAGATTGGCTAATTTTGTTTACGTAAGAATACACATACACTAGAATGTAATTCTAAAGTAAGGCTGCTGGCCAGCAAGCAGAAATACTCAGCATTTCCAGACAAAAGGTGAGTAACGTTTAACATTTCAGAATTTAAGTTAACTGAATAGAAATGTGTAAGAGAGATTTCACGTGGACATCTGGAGGAGAGCTACCATTAATATCTGAAGTCTTTTGAAGTGATAAATTGAATAGAATCAAACATTAAATTTCTTTAGTAGATGTTAATAATTTCGCATAGTGGTTAAGAGCATGGACTTTGGCATACCATCCTGGCTCAAATCCTGCTTCTGATTTCCAAGACCTCTGTAAAGAGGCAGAAGCAAGATACAGCATGGTCTCAATAACATGGTTACATTGATTGATTGATTGATTGACTGATAGGGAAGAAAGAAGGAAGGAAGATGCACCCAAGTGTGACACGTACACGCTAGAATACGAGAGAGAGATTCAGGAGAAACTGCTTGTCCGTGGTGGCCTCTGGGGAGTTGTATATGGTTGAGAGAGGGTGGGCAAACTTCACTGTATACCCTCTGTACACTTTTTTTTATTTGTTTAGTATTGTGAGTATATATTTTTTGTAAAAATTTTCAGTCCTGGTTCTGTCATTAACTGCCAAGAAGGCGGACCACTTGAGGTTTTTGAGCCTCGGTTTTTCCCACTTTTCAGAATGATAACCATGTCTCTCTCTCTGTCTGGATGGTAGGAATTGTGTGTATGAAGTGCTTGGCACAGTGCTTGGAACATTTTGAACTCACAAGAGATTGTGATAGCTATTGCTTTTTCCTGTTTCCCCTGGTTCGTTTACTCTTCTGTGTCTAGGGCAAAAAACAATGCTGAGAGAATCTTCGCTCTAATGCCAGAGAAAAACTCACACTCCTACTGCACAATGATCCGAGGAATGGTGAAGGTAACATTTATTTTTCTATTTTTATCTTTAATTTCCACTAAGTCAGGATTTTTCACCCTCAGAATTATTGACAATTGGGCCAGATAATTTGTCGTGGGGGCTCTCCAGTGCAACGTAGAGTGTTTAAAAGCTCCCTGTTCTCTCGGGGTTTCGTACGTAGCAGAGCAGCTCCCTCGCTGCGATCTATTGAAAGTCAGCCCTCGACACAAGGGTATGAATAAAAAAAAAAAAAGAAAAAGAAAAGCTCCCTGTTCTCTACCCACTGCATATCAGTACTACATCCTCCCCAGCCCTCAGTTGTGACAACTAGAAATATCGCCAGGAATTACACATGTCACCTGGGAGGCAAAGTATCCACACAGTGGATTATAAACTTCATGAGAACCAGGACCTTGTCTGTTTTGTTTACTACTGTATTCTCAAACCCTAAAACAGTCGATGTGCAAGTATTTCTTAAGTCAACATGTTAGAGGTTGCTTAATGTTTATGCTTTCTCTGTCCTAGCACCGAGCTCCTGTGCAGGCTTTAAACTTGTACACTGAATTATTAAACAACAGACTCCGTGGTAAGTGTGTTTGTGGAGAATTCTTTTTCTTTCGTTAAGAATCTGTAATATCTGGGACGCCTGGGTGGCTCAGTTGGTTGAGCATCTGCCTTCAGCTGAGGTCATGACGATCCCAGAGTTCTGGGATCAAGTCCCACATGAGCAGGGAGCCCGCTTCTCCCTCTGCCTGCCGCTCCCCCTGCTTGTGGTATCTCTGTCTCTCTCTGACAAATAAATAAATCTTAAGAAAAAAAAAAAAACAACATTTTTGAATCCGCAGAATATTTGGATCTTGCCTCATTTATGAGCTCAGTTTTTATCTTTTCATGTAGCATTGGTATTCATTGGCATATATAGAAGCAGGAGGAGAGATCCAGAGCAGGGGGTGATTGTCTAGTGTTGTGGGCACATGGTAAGTGAGCTAGGAGCCACATGTGTATTACTTCTTTGCCTTAAACTGAGGAATTTAGGGGTTAAACTTCAACCCAGATTTTTGTGTTTACAGCTGATGTGTACACCTTCAATGCATTGATTGAAGCAACAGCATTGAGTGTGAATAAGAATATGGAGGACAAATGGAATAATATACTGGTAAGGAGGAACCCTCAGTTTGTCTTCTGATGGGCCTAAAATACCTTTTCCTAGAAATAAAGGGGGTGGAGACAGCATTTTTTGCACATTTTCATGGCAGATAAAACAGCGCTGGGCACTCAGCGGTTGTGTGTTTACCCCCCCAGCAACCCTGTAGTTTAAATAGCTGTGTCTGACATGTGAGAAGAAACGTTAACTGACCCAGAGTTCAGAAAGACCTCAGTTGCTTTATTTCTCATCATAGTTTTTTAGTCACAAAAATGTATATTAACTGAAACGTTTTTATCAGGTAAGTCTGAAAAATTATGTTCATTGGATTTAAATAACTTAGGAATAGAAATGTTTTTATGTTTTTACATAAATAATAGAAATGTATCATCTTTTACTTAAATACCATGTTTATGTGTCTTTATACCATACTGCTGCTTATTTTAAAGGAAAACACTGCAGTTCATTCTAGTCTGTTCTTTTGCTTTACTAGGCAGGGTGAAGACAGTTGGACCCCTTGATCAAGTGAGGTGGGGTGACTTCTCTAAAAGGCAGAGTGACTGGTCCTGCTAATAGATAATTCTTAAATTAGGGATATATTTAGTAACGTTAGACTTAGCCAGAGAGCCAAGTTCTTTTTTAGTGTGTAATATTAGTTAATTGGACAAATTACCTACCCAGGCAGAAACGAGACTTACGCTTTTGACTCAACTAGGAGTTGCTAAAACAAATGGCTGCACAGAAGGTGAAACCAAATCTACAGACATTTAATACCATTCTGAAATGCCTCCGGAGATTTCATGCATTTGGAAGATTGCCAGCCTTACAGACCTTTCGTGAAATGAAAGCCATCGGAATAGGTGAGTATGTGTCATGTCCCTCCCTGGAGGCTGAGCCAGTGCTGGCCAGAAGTCTTAGATGCAGACAGGTAGAAAAGAGATGGTAAACTTTTTGCCGTTTATATAATGTATTGAGAACTTCGATTCCACCATTTGGCATTACAAATATTTAGTAATGGTGGGAGCTCCTTTATCTTCATGCTCTTTATAGCAAATTACAGTGTTCTTTTAATATTTTAGGTACTTTTCTGTGGATTTTTGGGGAGAACTGTTCACTTAAGAATTAAGTAGTTTTAAATCCCATGACATTTGCTAGCGTAATTAAGTATTTGAACCTAAATGTGCTACTATGTTGTATAGTTTTCTGTAATTATTAAAGGTTGTTTGGGCATCAGTTCACTTCAGTATGTTTTAGTGTTCTTGAACGAAGAATTATAGTATAAGTGCGTTAGCTATAACATTTACTAATGATATGTCAAGGCTTTCTAAGAGTGTTTATGATCCCTTTCCACTTAACATTAATTAAAATGAGCTATGACAGGTCTTTGTTCAGAGGAATAGAAATGTATCATCTTTTACTTAAATACCAAGGTCAGTGTGTTTTTAGTTCAGTGTGCCTCAGTAAACTGTATTTTTGGACAGCTGTGTTTGACTTCTTTCTTATTTTTTTGTCAACCTGGTAATTTAGAACCCTCGCTTGCAACATACCACTATATTATTCAGCTGTTTTATCACCATGGTATGTATGACGTTATGTATTAATTTATATAGAAAGCTGACACATTCCCTTATGTTTATGTGATTGTTACAGGTCTCTTTCACTACATACGATTTAAGAATAGAGAACACAAATTAACATTCCTGTAGCCTGAGCAAAAAGTTATTCCAGCTGGAGGGGACAGGGCCATTAAATGTACTAACAGTGTTGGTGTACAATTACAAATGGTCCAAAGGTGGGGCGCCTGGGTGGCTCAGTCGTTAAGCGTCTGCCTTCAGCTCGAGTCATGATCCCAGGGTCCTGGGATGGAGGCCCGCATCGGGCTCCCTGCTCAGCGGGAAGCCTGCTTCTCCCTTTCCCTCTGCCCCTCCCTACCGTTCATGCTCTCTCTCTCTCTCTTTCAAATGAGTAAGTGAAATCTTTAAAAACAAAGAAATGGGGGCGCCTGGGTGGCTCAGTCGTTAAGCATCTGCCTTCAGCTCAGATCATGATCCCAGAGTCCTGGGATCGAGCCCCGAATGGGGCTCCCTGCTTGGTGGGAAGCCTGCTTCCCCCTCTCCTCCCTGCTCATGCTATCTTCTCACTCTCTCTCTCTCTCAAATAAATAAATAAAAATGTAAAAAAAAATCAAAAATAAAAAGACTTAAAAAAAAAAAATGGTCAGAAGGTATGTTAGTCTGGAGTTCTTTTGCCCCTCCAGAGCTGTGCTTTTCAGGCAAACAGCCGTTAGGCACACATGCCTCCTTAATGAAAGTTAAAGGACACTGAAGATTTGTTCATCGAATTAGTGCTGGGTACCCACGTGTGGCCGCCGGCTGCTGTATGCAGTGACGCAGCGAGAGAACATTCCCATTTGTACAGGGACTTGTTGGACAGTGCTGCTCCACCATAACCTTGACCTTGTAGGAGAACCTTTTGGCTCCGTTTGTCACATGCTTTAGGTCAGCCACTTCCTGTAGGAGCTGTGCTCTGTTGAACGGACTCCAGAGCAAGGCACACTGGAGCTGAAATTTCACCTCCATCATTTACCAGTTGTGCCAGAGGGACTGGATACCCTACCTGAGTGAATACCATAGGGCCGTAACGATGAAATGAACTATGCCCAGTGTCTTGTCTCTGCTTGGAAGGCATGCAGTAGGCACTCCTAGTCTGTCAGTTTTTAGCCATTTGCCCCAACCTGAGAAAGAACTCCTGGGTTCAGAAATGACTGCTTCAGTCCTTTTCTCCTGTGGTTGACTTTATATATATAAAACAGAGAAGAACTTGAGTATCTCTGTTTTGGTGGACTAATTTTACAAAATCCACATCCTCACCTATGAGGAGGATTTTTATTTTTTAGGGTGCCAGTGGGGGGAAGAGGTAACAGACTTTATCTTGGAAACAGGTAAACAGTTTCCACAATAATTATCTTCTAAAATTTTACTCAACCTTGATGACGTTATAGTGAAACTAGTGTTTCTGACCCCAAAGCCTGTTGCATTTTTTTCTGCCATCACACATCACTTCGGTTCAGCTGCGTTCTGCTTCCTAAGTAACACTCGGGAACATGGGGGCAGACTCAGAGGAGAAGTGTCCATTTGTACACATAGGTAAACTGGCTCCCTGCAGTAACCACTTACACGTATTTACTCAAAGGAGAAAGCCTAAAGAAAGGATACATGTAGATTATTATGTAATTGATAAAATGATTAGAAATGCCAGCAAATGGAAACACGCTTGAGGAAATTGTAGAAATACATCTGTACTGTCATTAAAACTACACTATCACTTGTGTGCGGATAAGGTAGGGAACAGATTGTATGAATAAGGTGATGTGTTGGGAATTGTGTAGGTGCATTTTATACTTATTAGTACTCAGTTCATGTGATTTTAAGAGGATTGCCTAAATCCATTAATTCTACAGTTTTCTTTTTCTTGGCCTTTTCATCCTGATTATACGTAACACAAATGATTACTAGCAAAAAAACGTTTGTTTTTCGAAGTATGTAGATTTGGTGAGGTTGTGTGTGTCTCCCACTTCGGTGAAAGTCAAGCTTGAGACAAGATTAAAGAGGAAGGGCAAGTGTGCTGGGAGCACATAGCCAAAGAGCTGGAACTGTCCAAGATCGTATGGAGAGTTCCCCTCTGTAGTGTGTGCATCTGCTCCTTCAACGAGCATGCGCTCCGCCAGCTGTATGCCGGGCAGTCCGCTGCAGGGGGAAGGGGAGGTGTGGCCCCTTGAACTGCATTCTGTGTGGTTGGTGGGGGTACAGACAGGACTCCTTATGAAGCCTAATTGCTTTTTCGTTCTGCAGAAAACCCTTCAAAAGGATCATCGCTCATACTCTATGACATTATGAACGAATTAACAGGACAGAAATTTTCCCCAAAGGACCCAGATGACGGTATGCACAGAAATTGCTTGTGTGCAACAAAGAGCCTGCTTTCCCGATTGCCAGTTATTAGAGACCTTATGATAGGACAGGGTTTAATTTAGCTTAGTTGTCTTATGGTCATTATTCTGAAGAAGCCAAAATACGTGTGGAGCATTGCTCTATGCTTCCTCTCCTAGAGTTTTTATTCCTTTAGGTTTAACTTACACATTAACAGTTTTCTTGAGTTTTATTTTTAGGATTTTTATTAATGCTCACTTGAAAATATATTTTACCCATTGTAACCAAGACTTTGTGAACTTTGATTTTCAGATATGTTTTTTCAGTCAGCCATGAGAGCAGTAAGTACTGTTTCTTGTTTAACTTTTGTTTTTCTTTTTCCTTTTATCCACTTAAATTCCTCTGTAACTCGTGCGGGGTTGGGGATCTCCCCTAATTCTTTCACTTTCTCTGTTAGTCTTTGGTCCAAATTTTTTTTTTCTCTTAAATTCTATACTAATTCACATAGCATCTCTACCTTTATTTATTGTATATGTTTTCTTTTTTTCACACCTTTGTTCAGATAAGGTTTCAGAGTATTTCATGTTTACCTGTTTGTGACTTTTTAAATTGATAATGGTTTTGAATTTTGGTTTTTCATTTTATGTTAATCAGAAGAAGTTTTAGGCAGTTTCAGAATGGATTAGCATATCCTATTCCCTAAGGATAATTGCTTTCCAAAAGTTCAGTGTGTATCCTTATAGGTTTTTTCCTCTAGGTATTCAAACACACACAACCAGACACATTTCCATTATATTTTGTTTGTTGACAACAACATAGTATTTCATAGGAGGGAGGGACTACAATTTACTTTAACTCTTCTACTGTGAGTGTGTTTTGGAGTTAATTCATGGGATTTTTTGCAAATACAGTGATGCTGAAATGAGCACTGTCTTTGACCAAGTGTTTTCATAGGATTGATTTCTAAAGGTACAATCACTAGATCAAAATCATCTTGTTTTAAATTTCACATAACTTGAGGTTTGCCTTTTTTTTTCCCCTCAATCTTATAACTCATTTGCTGTCAACCAGTAATACATTGAATCTGCATGAGTATTTCCACAAGTAACTCTTTTTAATGTAATGAGCCACCGTTTGGCTGATAAATCTGAGTGATGCTTACTGTTTGCAAATTTTCAGTGCTCGTTTCTCAGAGATCTAGAACTTGCTTATCAAGTACATGGCCTTTTAAACACTGGAGACAACTGGAAATTCATTGGACCAGATCATCGGCGTAACTTCTATTAGTAAGTGTGTTGGAAATGTATCCTTTTGCATTATTGGAGCTTCTTTAAACAACCATTAGTTCTGTAAGTGGGAGACTGTTGGTAGCCCTCCTATGTCATCTCTGCAGGCACCATGCCCCTAACTTACCGTACATGTTAATTGAGCACTTGGAAGTTCAAGCAGTGGTAAACTGATTTGCCAGACTGAGATGTCTGCTGTGTATCTTTTAAACTCTTTTTCTTTGTAATGCTTTAAATACACATTATCTTTTTTCTCTAGGCCCTATTTTATATTTTTGAATGTATGGTAGGGTAGGTCCCTAACAATTTCAACACAGCCTCTTTTTGTTTTGTTTTTTTGTTTTTTAAGATTTTATTTATTAGAGGAGGGGGAGGGGCAGAGGGAGAGAGAGAAGCAGGCTCCCCGCTGAGCAGGGAGCCTGATGCATGGCTCAATCCAGAACCCTGAGATCATGACCCGAGCTGAAGGAAGACACTTAACCAACTGAGACACCCAGGCACCCCAGCCTCTTGTTTTTAAAGATGAAGATATAGAGATGAAGCCCAAAGAGACTCCTTAAATGAGTTTGATTTCAGGTAGATAAAAACAGGAATTTGGGCGCCTGGGTGGCTCAGATGGTTAAGCGTCTGCCTTCAGCTCAGGTCATGATCCCGGGGTCCTGGGATCGAGTCCCACATCGGGCTCCCGGCTCAGCGGGGAGCCTGCTTCTCCCTCTGACCCTCTCCCCTCTCATGCTGTTTCTCGCTTGCTCGCTCTCTAAAAAATAAATAAAATCTTTAAAAAAAAAAACAAAAAAACAGGAATTTAAGGAGGCAGCCTGTTAATAGGCATGTGATGATTGTCTTCTATGTGTCCATATCCTTGCTTCACATTGCATGCTTTTAAAGTGAATGTGATATTCACTGTTGGCTCACCGTGAGCTGAGAGCATGAGGAGGCAGTCATGAATGGCCAGCTGAGGATAAGAAGGTATTAATTGGGAAGTCCAGAGAACATAGTTAGCACCTCTTGAGTCAAGCATTGGCCCATGTAACTTCACATTGTTTGTAACTTACAAATTGATTTTAAATTCTGTGGAACATATCCTATAGCTGTGCTGTAATTCAGTCATTCTGTTGTTAGGGATCTGAGATTAAACCTACCTTTTCTCTCCATTACAGTTCCAGGTTCTTCAGTTTGCTTTGTCTAATGGAACAAATTGATGTCACGTTGAAGTGGTACAAGGACCTGATACCTTCAGTAAGATGATTCATGACCTCTCATTGTAGATGTGCTTATGGGTATCTTTGCTAATACTTTAAAAATGTATTCGTATTTCTCTTAATCAGGTATTCTTTCCCCATTCCCAAACTTTGATAGACCTTCTCCAAGCATTGGATGTGGCCAACCGGCTAGAAATGATTCCTCAAATCTGGAAAGGTTGGTTTCAGTTTGTATGTTCAGGCCCATCTCACTTCATTGCCCTACATTTTGATTAATGTTAGGGATGGAAATTTCCTTTTTTTTTCACTAAATTAAATATATTAGTTAAGGTCTGCTTTATGGTTGTTGACTCACATTGCGTATAATATTGCATGAGTAAAAATGCATTGAAAGTGACCTAAATAAGTTCCTTTGTGACAGGAAAAGGTAGAGTTTGTGCATTTGTTGTGTGACACGACAAAGGGAAGATCCTAGTGCTAATTACATGGCACACCCTCAATCAAAATTCAGGTCTCCATTCGCAAAGCCTTTGTTATTCGTCTGTACCATGCTGCATCATTGTGACTCAATTGTTAACCAGTCAGTGATAAGTTTCTAAGAAATGGGCGTGATTGTGCGTTTCTGTGTATAAAATTGGCTGCAGAAGATGCTGTGTCTCATCTGGTAGGTGATGGTGATCGCAACTTGAGTTTTCTGTCAGCTTCAGGTTTCCATGTCTGAACACTGAGACCATAACCCTGACCTATTTCACAAGATTGCTCTAGTGATTGTTACATCAAAGATGGTTGACAATTACCAGGTGCTATAAAACAGTGTCTTGCCATATGGAGCTGGTAGCTGCTCCAGAGTCGTGCACATGCTGTGTCTCGCACTTGACTGGGAGCAGGTTACTGCCTTCCATCGCTCCTTCATCCATTTTTACCGTGAATTATCCTGCTGGTTTCCTGGAGACCTGGAATAGTGTCAGCACCTGACTTTCACCCACCAAGAACTGTGACAGTGGACAAAGGTCAGCCGAAGAGTTTTGGTTTTACATGACAGTGATCACCATTCACTATGTTCTTTTTCTGTTTCAAGATAGTAAAGAATATGGTCACATTTCTCGCAATGACCTGAAAGAAGAGATTCTGATGCTCATGGCAAGGGATCAGCACCCACCAGAGGTAGGGTTATATCCAGATTCAAGTTATGTTACAGTGATTAGAAGTGTACTAACCAGTACGTTCTCTAACATTGTGGACCTTGTAAGGGTAAGTTCCTTGGTTTCATCAGGGAGACGTTACAGAGAATTCTGCTACCTAAACCCAGATTTAAATTCTACATCTAAACATACCCAGCCATTAGCAGAATCCCATTTCTAAAGTCACTTTCATTCCTCCAGCCCAAAACTGTCTTGACAGTAGTAGCTTTTTGAAAAAATTCCCATCTAAAAAGAAAACCCATAATGTATTTTTGAAGGATGTGGCCAATATTCAAATTATTTACCCCAGAGCAGGGCAGGGCACGTTCTTTTTTATTGCTGGTGTACTATACATGTGATGGGTTCAAATGGTAAAATGCATAGCTCAAAAATGTCAGCGCTTTTGTGGAGTCTTCTGAACTTAGATTCTCCTAAAACCAGCTAGGCAGTTCTGCTGACTCTTCAGGGCCTCTCAGCTTCAGGTGGCGTTTGCTGACTGTGCTGCAGATATCAAATCCACTTACGAGGGCCAGGATGCCAGACAGATTGCTCCTGAGTGGCCAGCCAACTGTCTCAACTATATAGCTGTCCTCTTTTTAAGGGCTGGCAGAACGCAGGAAGCCTGGTGAGTACAAAACCACAAGTGTAAATTAGAAGCATTTGTACTTGGATCTCAGAGAACATTTTCCCAGTCACTAGAATTTTCTAATTTGACTATTAGATGTGTAATCAGAAAAATGAGTTTTCTACATAATGAGTTTTCTCTGGGACTGCAAATACCAACTGAAAAGGAAACTTTTAGAAGACCAGTATAGTATATACGTTGTATTTAAGACAGGACACAGCTTAATAAGGGCTAATTCTCTATTTCTCACCTGTTTTCTGTATCCATGGGCAAGTAGTCACTTGTCCTGTCCACTTAAATAGAATGATCAAAGAATCTTATTTTTGAAAATGCCTTGGACATTTGGCTTATCCAGGTATTTCAAGTGCAGGCTGTGCACTTGGACTTCTGGAAACTGACATTTAAAAACGGCCTTGACTAGGGGCGCCTCGGTGGCTCAGTCATTAAGCATCTGCCTTCGGCTCAGGTCATGATCCTGGGGTCCTGGGATCGAGCCCCACGTTGGGCTCCCTCTGCCACTCCCCCTGCTTGTGTTCTCTGTCAAATAAATAAATAAAAATAAAAATGGCTTTGACTAGAACCATCTTTGGTTTGTGTCACTGTGTACCTACCAGTTAGGTGTTTTCATCAGCACTTCCTTCACATACTAATTCTTAGTGTTTGTGAATGGACACTTTACATGCATTCCTTTTTCCAAAAGCAGAGAAGAAAGAATACTTTTGTTCAGTAAGTGGGGTACTTGTATATGGATTTTTCAACACAAGAAAGTAACTTGATAGGGTGGTCAGCCCAAAATGTGGGTGTTCACTGTCTTCAGGAAAAGCTGGTGAATGAAGGCTTTGCTACCTTAACTGGTCTTAGGAGTGTAAATCACACACATGGCCTGCTACACTGCTAGTGACAAACCTTTGATGCTCGAATTTGTTAACTCAGGTTGACACGCACTTGTTACGAATCAGGCTGTGATGATTGGCGCAGGGGTACGGACCTCAGCTGAATCATGGGAGCTGAATGTATGTGTTTGACCTTTGTCTTGCATGTGGCAGGATGCTGGTGAGCACTTACATGAGACTCATGCCTTAATCTGAGCCTGCTCTTCGCAATGTAATTCTAGGACACTGATCCCGTTCTGGGATCGTAAGAGAGGAAAGAGATCGCACTCTATTGCATCCCTCTCTGCTGCCCACAGGGTGCATCCTGTCCCTGCCAGGACCGAAGTGATTCTCGAGAAAAGGATATTACCCCCCCCCTCCCCAGTAATTCTCAACACTGGCAACGAATCAGACTTGCCTGTGAAACTTGCAATGTACATATGTGAAGTTTGGGAGGAGGGAGTTGAAGCACCGAAGGTGCTTTAGATGTGAACAGGGCTGGGAGCCCGTGGAGCTCACAGATCTGTGTCTTCAGGAACTTCAGAGAACAGTTGTGATCATCCGCTCACCTTCTGTGCTATTTATATTCATATCTTTCTCATATCTTGAACAGGAAAATGTTGGGGCTTTTCAAGAAGCATAATAAGATCCCTGGGTAAGTTGAATTTAACAAGCCTCCCTGGGCACATCCTGGAATTAGCTGCATGGTCTTAACTCTTACCATGGGATGATTGGAATTTCTTCACATTCCTCAGTCACAGTGATTGAGCATTCTTCTGCTCAAGCAAATGGACAATTGCTTCCACCATCTAGGGCATCCTGAAGCAAGCACTGTTTTTAATCTGTGGTTGTTGATTGCAACACACTGGGCATACACTGAACAACAGATCCTTAATGAAGGCACACTGGATCAATGTTCATTGTATCTTTGACCCTTTAGTCTTCGTGGCAGTGCCTGGGTGGCTCAGTTGGTTAAGTGTCTGCCTTTGTCTCAGGTCATGGTCCTGGGGTGCTGGGGTGGAGCCTCATGTCTGGCTTCTCATTGGAAGTCTCCCTCTCCCTCTGCCCCTCCCCCCACTCATGCTGCCCTTCATGTAAGTTTACCTCCAAAGCTACTGTTGTGGATTTCAAGACTCAACTTTATAGAATGCTAGTTTTTACTTTACATATGAATCTGTGAGGGGGCTCAGGGGTTTAGTTTTAAGGGGAATGTTGACATTTTGCCTTTCTTTTACAGAAATGAGTTGTTGAATGAGTTTATGGACAGTGCAAAAGCATCCAGCAGCCCTGCCCAGGCCATTGAGATAGTGAAGCTTGCAAGTGCCTTCAGCTTGCCTGTTTGTGAAGGCCTCACCCAGAGAGTGATGGCTGACTTTGCAATCAGCCAGGAACAAAAGTGAGTCCTGCATCAGATGGAGCAGACGATTTGTCCATCTACCCATTCAATGTTTATAGCTTTCTTCCTCCTGAACTTTTTTCTTTGCAAAACACCAGGATGTGATACCTATTTATTTCACTTGTCATACATGTCAGAGCCTATAGATTTGGCTCTTGGAAACTTTTCCCTTTTCATTAGAGTTTAAGTTGCAGAGTCCCCTCCCCCAAGCCTAAAATGCAGTGTAACCCTCTAGTTTATTTTCCTTACAGGGAAGCCCTGAGAAACCTAACCTCACTGACCAGTGATAGCGACAGCGACAGCGACAGTGACAGCAATGAAGGCAAATAAAAGTGGGCGAATCAGGAGCAGCTGTGGCCTAGCATAGTTGTTGTACTTACACTTGAGAACTGACATCTCTGTTCAACTGTCTTGTGAAGAAAACAAGAGAATTCAGACTTGAACTTCAAAGAACAATAGGTATAGCATGGACTATTTAAATTCCTAATTTGATACTTCCTGAGCCACCCATTCAGGGTTGACCACTTGAACAGAAGCAGCACTACCATTTTCTGTGGACACACACAGTGAGGACACGGCTCCTGGCTTCAGCATAAGCTCTGTGCATGAGCAGTGTTTGTTCAGCCGACTTCACGCTGCTGCCCAGTGTGGTCTGTCTTCGCGTCGTGGACTTGGCCTTCAGTAGCCCAATTTAAGGGATATTTTAGAGGTGAGAAATTTGCCATTGTTGTTTAATCATTTCTAAGACGCATAGTGTTTGGGCTGCACGTATGGGAAAATGAAGGCTGTAAATAAACGCTGTAGTTAAGGTGCATTTGTACACATTCCCATTACTTTTACACAGCCTTTGTCCCCCCTCCTCCCCCGGCCCTGGGACTTGCATGAAAGAGCTCCATCTCCCTTGCTCCCCCCCCCGCCCCCGCCCCCACCATGTGCCAGCACCTTTAGTTGTACTCAGTGTACTACAAGTGGTCTGAAGGGAGGGCCGCTGGGCGCCTGAGTGGCTCAGTCAGTGAAGCGGCTGCCTTCGGCTCGGGTCATGATCCTGGGGTCCTGGGATCGAGTCCCGCATCACGCACGTTCCCTGCTCCGCGCGAAGCCTGCTTCTCCCTCTCCCTGCTGCTGCTCCCGCCTGTGCGCTCGCTTGTGCTGTCACATAAATAAAATCTTTGAAAATCTAACAAAATAAAGTGAGGACTGCTAGTCAAGAACGTCTACTGCTACTACTGGCATTTCTCTTACCACTGTGAAACCTCAGCACTGGAAGTGAGCAGGAACCTGCGCAGTTTACAGGAGCATTCTTGCCCTTCACCAGGGCTTCCGCAGGCTGCTTTGCTCATTCCTGGTCCCGGATAGTCTGAGGGGGCCCCATGAGTTCCTCCCAGATGAACAGCTTCATCCTTACCCTACCAGGGCTGCCACTGATGGGCTACTGTTTCGTACCCTTGTCTGTTACATGTATCTGCTTCGGTTCTTTCCGTCCTCTCTCTAGACCTGGACCCAGCCGTATATCCTCAGAACCCTAAGTATTGGTTCATGTTTTCTCCTAGATTGCCGGTTTAAGACTTCTAAATAAAGGACAAAGGGGGCAGGGAAATGACAGTAATGAGCTATTAAGCATTCACGTGCATTATTCCCTGACAGAACGAAGCAAATGAACAAAAGGACAGTTAAGCTGATTGGCCTTTGATCTTGGTTTACAACTTCCAGGGAGAACCTGGCTTCCTGGAAGTTTCTGTTCACTCTGCTCCTTCCCATCTTTCCTACAGATGCCTGCTCTCTTCTTGGCCAAGTACTCACTGCAATCCTTATAAATGTGGTATACTTCTCTCCTTGTCAGGCCCCAACTGAACCCTCACCTTAGTGCTTGGTAGCTACAGAGCTGATAGGACAAAGTCCCATCTGGGCTGATGTCATGAAAATTTATAATGGATTTCAATGTAGTTCAGTTGTTTTAACTGCTGTAGTTACTGCAAATACCCAGTCTAGGCAAATAACTGCTTCAAAGTTTCAGAAAATTAACCCTATAGGACTGGTCTCCATTCTCTCAAGAACGAGCTCAAGAGGGGGTAGGGTCAGAGGGAGAAGCAGACTCCCTGCAAAGCAGGGAGCTCGATGGGGGACTTGATCCCAGGACTCCAGGATCATGACCTGAGCCGAAAGGCAGGAGCTTAACCAACTGAGCCACCAAGGCACCCAAAGATTTTACTTTTAATCTCTACACCCAACGTGGGGTTCGAACTTTTAACAACCCGGAGATCGAGTCGCATGCTCTACCAACTGAACCAGCCAGGTGCCCCTCCATTCTCTCACTGCTACATGTTTATTCACGGACTAATGAAATATTAAACTCTAATAGTAAAAGATGTTCTGTTTCTTTATGCCTATCAGTTTTTGCTTTTGGTCCCTGGCTCTCCCCTCAATTTGCTGTCTTCTTCCTCACAACGGTCTCTAATATAACTCAAGTACTGCATGCCTAAAAGGCAATTTACTAAAATGAGTGGCTTCTCGGTCATGTACGAGAACTCATTTTTAAGACCATTCTTAATAGGTCTTAACATTTCACAGATGTTTATATAGGAAATATATATTACATTTACAATCTAAAATCAGTTCAGTATTTTAAACAAAATGGTATGAAAAGAAAGATTTGAGTTCTAAATCGAACCAGTTAGGACCAGAATCAAGTTTTGAAAAGCTTTGGAACATTAATGGCATATAAAGCAACCATGTTAAAATAATCCAAAAACAGCCTTTTGGAAATTGGGAAATGAGGGTAGTTTAACTATTTTTTAGTAACTTACCAAAAAGGAACAGGAGAAACCAGAGCATCAGAGGAATAAACTGTGGAGTTGGAACCCATGGAATGGGAAGGGTCAAGGGAGTAGGCCTGCTACATGTGAATAAACTTGTTCAACATGCCTCAGATCACCAGTGTGTGTAAATTAGGAACTAATAGATTCGAGGTTCATAAGAACATTTGAGGACTCTAGCAATAAAATGTACTGTCTGATGTTTGTCTTTAAACTGTAGGATTTAAGACAAAATTTGGGGGGTGACGATTAGAATACTGAAATGGATTAGAAAATCAAAATACATCACATGCAATAAAGCTGTGATACATTTTACAGTGCAATAGACATGCATATAAATACACATGTATAAGTGTATCTGGTCATGACATAAATTATTTTCCACTGGTAACGAAGTTTAGAAACACTGAAATAGGGGCGCCTGAGTGGCTCAGTCATTTGGGTGTGCCTTCGGCTCGGGTCATGATCCCGGGATCCTGGGATCGAGCCCCAATCGGGCTCCCTGCTCCGCGGGAAGCCTGCTTCTCCCTCTCCCACTCCCCCTGCTTGTGTTCCCTCTCTTGCTGTGTCTCTATCAAATACATAAAATCTTTATAAAAAAATAAAAACTGAAATAGGACATGCTTGGAGACAGCGGTCACTGGAGCAAGGCTGGTCAGGGCAAGTTTATGGAGTCATTTAGATCAGATCTTTAGAGCAGAGTGGTGATTTACCAGAGACAAGTATTTGATTTGGTTAATAAAAGGCAATGTGCTGACGGAATAACGGAAATGTAAGATACATAGGGTCTGGACAGGGAAGGAACATCCAGCCTGGCCCAGGAAGGAGCCTAACCTGTCAAAACGCTATCCATCCAATCCACACAGCCGTGGACTGAGAGAATTCAGGACTAGAGATCAAGCCCAAGAATAGTTTACAGAGCTCCGCAGGATTTCAGACTCTTGAAAACTAAGAATGTCCAAGAGTATAAAGGTTATGAGAATTTATTCCTGGGGAAACCTAAACTTTGCCACCAATACCAGTGGAATTTGCTCCTACAACAATGGCACCTCTGCTGCCTCTTGCCTCTTAATCCCTCTAAAACCCCCTCTCCTGAAAACCCCAGGGCAGTGTCCCTACAGCTAGTGTGAACTAAGAAGCCAGTGAAACCACATGACCTCCCCATGTTTTGGAAAAGGGCAGAGTGGCCAGTTAACCTCTTGCTCTTCCACCCTCATCCTTTCTTTATACTCTCCTGGTGACCTGAGGATCCCTGAATGCTTCAGGGGGAAGGAAACCGACGGGGGGGTGGGGGGGTTGTTCAGCTTTGGTTTGGGGTAGTGGTGACCACTGGACCTGATGAAGAGTGATTTGCCTGATACTGAATCCTTTTTATTTCCCATTTATGTTAAATTAGCTGTTCTTCTGCACTGAGTTCAAGCAAGTTACTTTAAAACTGGTGGGACAACTCATCTGGGACTTGGGAGACTTTTATCCAGAACCTGTTAAAAAAGAGCAGAGGATTTAAGTTAATACTAAGGAACAGAAAGACTTTGTGCCTTTAAAAAGACTGTCTAAAACTGCATTTTAGTTACATTATTGATTTTTGAAACATTAAAGCAAAGATCAGAGTTTTAATGTTATATCCAGAGGCATGAGTTTAAAATGTTGAGGAACACTTCCTACAGCACTCCAGGGAGGCAGTAAGGTAACCCGTTTAAGGCTCAGATAGATTGAGACAGTGAAAGCAAGACGAATAATGATTTGCTTCACACGATCAAGTCAGAAGTGGCAGAGCTGTTAATTTAGCACCTACAGCTGAAGTAAAGTGAAGCTGCCCGGCTCTAACTGTCCAACGTTACAGCCATCTTCCCCCAAACTTGCCCCTTTGGGTTCCACCTTGCCTTCAAGGACAACTGACAACCCAAGTAAAGGCCCTTTTCACTTGAAGGGGTGCTGAGTGACCTCTCAGGAAGATGGGAGTCTTACTAGGCCTGAGGAGAGAGAATTAAGGCCTGGCTAAGCGTCCCTTTCCAATATCATCCCATTTTCTAATAGGCAACAGTGGTAAGGAGGTTGGTTAATGGAACTACTAACACTTGAAGGCCAGTGGTCTTCATTATTTTGATTTACTGAGCTAAAATAAACCATTCAGTATTGCTTGCCTCTTATGAGCTCAGATAATCACATCTGATCAGACTTATTTTCCAGCCCCTAGAGAAATTTAGATTTCCTTATAATTTGTAATATTTCCCATGCTGCATAAGTAAAACAAATTACAAGCACCTTTACCACGACAAACAGGTAAGTAGCTTTGTGAGTTAATGTATTTTGCAATTCCATACCATTCCAAAGGGGGAGGCTGAATTTAGAATAGTCTCATTTTCTTCTGGTAAAAATAGCATACTCTCACTGCAGAAATTAAGGACATTACACAAAGCATGTGTTCCATCAGAGACACTTACGTGTATTTTGTTGATTTAAGAATCTACTCAGGAGAAACATAAGGAATATGAGCATTATCAACCAAGGCCAAAACAGGACCAAAAGATCCCCAAATCAAAGGGTAAGTGCCATGCAAACTTAATGTAACAATCCAAATTTAGGGTCTGGCACACACCCACATAAATATAAAACAGAATTCCTCTCTCTCCCAGGATTTGCAGATACTTTGCTCAAATAAAAGTGCCTCCTCAGTCTCTTTGTGAACCCATAAACCCCAACAAAAAATTAAAATTCTGAAAACAAATTTGACAGTATTTTCATGGAATAAGAAAAAAAAATCAAAGGAAGGAATTTGTTAATGTTTACCCAATATCGCAATTGTCCTAACCTTCAGAGACGTGAACTAAAAAAGTTCTCTGGGTTTTATGGCAATCCAGTTTAAATATACCACAAAATTATTCAATCCCATGAAGTTTCCAGGCTCACTACCCCCACTTCAATGAAGAGATTCAGTCCAAGTACCAGAAAGGAGCAAGGTCAATTAGCAGTGTTTCAGAACTGAGACCTGTGACCTGTTTTGAGGGCTGTTTAATTAAATTCTGGGTAAAGAAAACTTTTTTTTTTTTTAAATGAAACAGACCAGAAAACAGTACATCACAAGTAGAAAGGGGCTAGCAGTGGTTTGAAAAAACTTTTAAGTATGCACACAGGTGTGTGTATATATTGGGTCCCAATATAAAATATAAATTTTTCCTGTGGTGGCAATTTTAAAAGTTTCAGATAGATACTATTATTTCTAGTGCCCTTTAATCACTAGAAATGCTGTATCTCCCATTATAAATATTTTGGCAATTACGCCTTGTACATCACTCTTGAGTCTGACCGGTAGGAATCAGTTCACCAGAACCTTCAAAGCCAAAAACAGACCTTGCACTTCTGGAACCCAATTCATGACCTGGAAACTCAGTGCCCACGATTTCCTACCTCTGCTGTTGCCACTTCTCAAGGAAATTGTCTACGCATACAACAAACTAGAAATAGTACTTTCTGAAAAGGGATAAGCTACTCAGTTTTTCATCTTTTTGTTTTATTCAGTTTGCTCCAAGGGCAAAATCAATAGTCATAGGGATCACAAACATTATTTTGACTGGCTCACAAGCCTGATCAGTAAAACCTGAAAAACAGAAAATGTTACACAAGTTGCAAAGAAAATACTCCTGGAGTTCACTGACATGATAGCAAGTGGAAATACAGATGCAACAGGTGTTAACATTTAGAACAGTACTTGTAACCTGCTCCTTTCTAGACAATTCTGGGACCCTGTTGCAAACCCTTCATGTATCACTGCTGATTCCCTTTCACATAAAATACATTACAAAACTCTCCCTAGACCTTACTCTTGCTGCACTTGAGTGGTCCCTATTCCTACGGCGCTGGCGTACGCGGTCAGGATCTCCACTATCTGTTTAGTTTCTAGGGTCATTCGGGCTTCCTTCAGCCAGTCCTGGGCCACTCGTCTGGACTCCCCTGTCAGCTGATTGACAAACTTTGCTGCCAGCTCCAGATCACCATGCTCAATGCAATAGGAGGCATAGGACAGTAATTTAAAAGTGTTTATATCCTCAGGGCTGAGCTCCGCAGGTGGCTTCAGTTGCTGAGGTGGGAACAAGAGCAAGGACTGCAGGTAGGAGAGGAAGTATTGGTATAAGCTATTTCTGGTTTCATCAATCATTGCTACCCTTCGGGCCAGTTTTTGAACAGCATAGAAACGGGCTCTAAGGGTCTCTTCACTGTACACCCCACGGGTCAGGGACTCGGGAGGAATAGCTGCGGTTAGAGCCTGGGCAAATTCACTGTCGGCACAGCTGACTCGGATGGCCTCGACCGCGCTACCCAGTGGGACAGTGGGCAGCTCTGCGGATGCAGTCTTCATGCTGTACTTGAGCGCCTCCACCGACAGCCAGAGCTGGTGGGCTTTTCGCGCCTCCTCTTCAGCCACTGCATGACCTAGCAGGAAAAAGAAAGGCAAAGAAAAACATTTTTCTCTCCATCTGACTACATGTCCTTCTCCATACCTCCAGAGATCTGATGCACCCTGCACCTTCAACAGGCTAAAGCCACACGTGT